AGAGACACTTTGTGATAAGAGTGATAGACGGATTGGCCAATATCTTTGGAATATTTTTTCTCATTTTTTATGAAAAAATTATTTTTTGATGAAAGTTTCAAAAATTTCAGATATTTACATAATTTTCAAAATTTTTCGCAGAAATTTTATGAGCTCATGATATCAAAATTATTTAATTGAACAATTATGTTCTTATAAATATTCCAAGTCGATTATGGCGATTTTCGGCATTTGCGTAGTTTAGAAAATTTTCATTTTTCCTTGAGCTTTCAATCTTATCGTATTTAAATTATTATCACTTTTATCATCGTCATTATCGCTATCATTACGGCTAATAACATCATTATCACTCTTATCACTAGTATTTTATCATTGCCACTATTAATCTATTAAAAGAATCCTCTTATCACCGATAAAAAGTTATAAAGCATGTAATCTAAAATAGCATTTTTAATATTAAATATTAAATATTAATATTAAATATTAAAAAAGCATATTGTTTAAAAGGAATTTTTAAAGATTGATTTAAATTTAATTTAATATTTAAATTTGTTATCATTTGCACTTTTTATCCTATGCCGATTTCCATACTTAATATTTCAATTATTTGATTATTTTATTTTAAACATTTTATTTTAATTATTTGTTTATCAATTTTTTTATTTTTTAAAAATTATTGTACTATAATTAAATTTATTTTTATTAAAAGTTCTCTAAAAAATATTAAAATTCCATAAAATTCTTATTATTTTTTAAAATAAATTAAATTTTCCTCTTTGTCATCATCTTTACTATATTTTTTACTAGATAAATTTCCTAAAATCGTAAAAAAATTTCTCACAAGTTTTGCAAATCACTGCGTTATTTAATTCGATTTATTGATAAGGACCATATTTATAAGCCTTATAAAGCCTTTTTTCTAAGAACGGTTACCATTTCTATCTCGCTTCGCTAGCTTGCTGAATTTAAACCCGACAAACCACTTTACCATTGACTCACAGAGATATTTTATTCTTGTTAAAAATGGAACTTCAGTGCTCGCACTCCTGAATAAAAATAACAATTTACTCATATCTCCACTCTTTAAATCTTATTTAGAGTGGATCAATTTTTGGTATAACTCGTGCATATAATGATGGTGGCATTAACTAAATCAAAACTGGATTTTGATAATAGTTTTTAATGTTTATTGACCAATCTAACTGGTCTTGAGAATCGGCAAATGGACACAATTTTTGTTTTTAATAAGAAGGTCATGATTTAGCCGGTCGCTGCCTACACAGCTTTCATCGCAATTTTTGACAATTAGATTTATGAAAAAAAAAAAAAAAATTAATGCAAAATTAATAGCATAGCTAAGAATGCACTACAAAAATTATTCCACCTAGTTCTTTTTTTTTTCGTCGATTTTTATTTTAAGAAGGATGGTCAAATGATATATTTCCATAATGATTGGTGCTAAGCCATTTCTTATCATTTGATAAGTCTAAGCCCACTATTTAGTAGGTTGTTGAAAACTAATGTGCTAATGCTAGATTTTCACCTATGCTTCTATGTCTAAGTAATTTTCTTACTTACCTACATTACGCCTAGTGATCAACGGTGCGTAACTAAACCAGAGAGCTGTTCCAGAAGAAGAAGAAATATTCGATTATTGAATTAGAATCGAATTCTTGAATTCTATTGACTTTTAGCCGATATATTTCTTTTATTCAATTCATATAATGGTAGTTAATTTTCTAAAATTGAATTGATTTTTTCGTAAATTTAAAATTTATTAAAAAATTTAAATCAAATAATTAGAATAGATTGAGAAATATTAAAAAAATATTGTATAAAACCCTATAATTTCATATCTATTCATTTTTAAATTTTATATTTTTCTAAAAAAATTATTGAGAAAATCGTACCATTCTTCTTTATGATTTATTGTATTTAATTTGGAAATTCTCCATTATCGTTTTCTTTCATAATCGTAGTAAAATGGATTACTTATTAATGTTGTAATATTAATGTCTTATCTGATATTTACTTTTATCATTGGCTGAATTTAATTTTGCTTTGGTCTAATAAAGCCAATCGAGCAAATCCAATTAGAAATAATGAGCATTCATAGAAAAAATTGTGATATGCGTTAATTATCATTGTTTTTGAACTAATTTTGGTCTATTCCTATATTATCAAATTGCTAATCGTTCGTTCTTCAAAAATCTCAAAATTATTATTTATCAATTATCAATGATGTCAATTAAATTAGAAATTATCAATGTTATTGCAAACTTTCATAAACCTATGTTTGAATAATAAATAATAAACGATTGAGTAATAAATAATAAAGATTTATATTAATGAATCAACTCGTTTAAATAGAACGATTTTATACTGAAAAGAGAAAAGATGGCTATCAGTTCAAAGAAAAATATAAATGGACTTCACGAAGGAGATTGGGTGAAAAAAAAAAATTTGCGAATTCTTGGAATTAATCCATACTGAAATATAATGGAATAAAACAAATAAATGATCGATCCTTTTCTCTATTCTTTTGTTTCATATTTCTTGCATTTCAAACGAAATCTTTTTCGTCCATTAATATTTCTAGGATTTTGATTTAAAGCAACATTTTCAATTATTTTTCACTATTTTTCACTATTCAAATAATATTTATTTTTCAAGATTATTTAGGCTTTTTTTTATTGTTTTTATTTATTTTCTGGTTAGTTACATTTCGCCAGATTAGACATTATTTGCTAGAGGAATAATTGGCAATAGAAATAGTCAGGATTCGTGAATCGTTGATATAATGCGGATTTTCGATAAGTTTATTCATCGTATGTTAGAGATAGAACCGTAGCATTGGTACCATAAAAAATGTATGCAACAATCTATTGAGCCATTCTATTGCTCAACTTAAAATTTACCTTGTTAGAAAATACCTCATCCACATTCACCATAAACTACCATAAGCCATAAATTTTCTCATCATAAGCTTCAATCGTAGTTATTTAATGAATTTCTCCAAAATTTTTTTCACTCTTTGCATCAATTTTATATAAATTTATATTTAAAGTTCAATTTATTTATTTTTATACGTGCAAATATTTATTTCTAAAAAATAGAAATAAAATAATAATATTTATAATTAATTGTAATATTTATAATTGATAATAATATTTTACTGACCGCTAAGCGCTAATTAATAAGAAAAAATGATAAAAAAATGATTTGATCAGTCTTATTAAAAATTTTCTCCAAATTCTCCAAAAATCCAAATTTTTATTAATTTAAAATAATTTAAATTATTGCAAAAAAATTTTACTTATATAAAATTAGTTATATTTTTGAAACTTGTAAAAAAAATAATTAAAATTATTTAAAGTTTTTTGTTTCATATTTCGATAAAAATTAATAAATATCGGCTTAAAATTTTTAAAATTTTTTAATTTATTTTTTTCTCATAAATTAAATTTTTATCTTTAATTCATTGCTAAAATTATTCGTTTTGTTTTATTCAAAATTTATTGAAATAAGTCCGTCAATATATTTGAAATTGTCACTTATTAAGACGAATTCATATAACTATTGTTTTTGCTTTCGTCAACGAATATAAAATTTTAGTGGAAGTTTCAGTGAGTTTTAGTGAGTTTTAGTAAATTGGATGAGTCGAAACAATATTTGTTATTATTCATTATTATACTTTGTCCTTTAGCTAAATAACCTTAAATTTGCCAAATATTTATTAATATATTTATTATTAATATAATTTTTAATATAAATAATAATAAATAAATATTAAATATTATAAATCATAAATATCCTAAATTTTTGTGAAATTTTTATCTCGAATTTTCCAAAAATACAATTGAATTTACTAAAAATAATTTCGAATTGTTGCAGAATGCGATGGTTTTGACGGGTAGGTCTTCGAATTATGCATTTTTGCTTTTTTTTATGGTTAGTGATTTTTTTTTATTTATTTATTTTTGTTGATAATTTATTTATTTTGGGACAAACACTAATGAATTTTAATCGCAATAATTCGCGAAAATTTTTTCTTAAATCCAAATTTTGGCGACTGTAAAATTTGAAAATTTTTTTTTTTTTACTATATTCGTTTATTATTATTATTATTGTTATTACTGTTTTATTATTATTATTGTTTTCATACCAAATAATAATTTTGCTCATTTCACATTCAACTATTTAATATTCTAATAAACCATATCGTTAAACCATATTAAATCGTTAAATCGTTTAGGGTTCTAAATTATAATAAAATATTGAAAATTTCTATGAAAAAATATAACATTCATCTGATTTTCAACTGATTTTAATGATTACAACATCATTGATCTTGGCCTTATCAGTTACTTTTCGATAAGAAATTTTACAAATCGCATTTAAAATTATTGTCTTTTACAAAGGCTTATTTGTTTTTGATTCTATGAAGGTACATTTCTTAGTTTATAGGTCCTTCGATAAATTAGCATCCTGTTGAATTTGTGGGTATTTTTTTTCGCTGCCTAAAAATATAAATATTTTATATATATATATATATATATATATATATAGAAACAGAGATGGTTGTCAAAACAGAGATGGTTGTTGCACCAGGATTTGACTTTTAATGATAAAAGAGTAAAGATACAAAGAATAAAACCATGATGGTTGAACTCTGAACCAATTTGAACTGTGGCTTAGGCCTCTATTCTGTATTCAAGAAAAATAGTTGCAGTGTTTTGTACTTTTAAGCGCTGTTCATGACTTTGTTTATTTTACTTTTATAAAAAAGCAAAATATTTTGAAAATTCAGAAAATTTTAACGAATTTTCCGAATATGCCTTTCCTTTATTGTTACTCTTTTTTTCTAAAGTTTTAATTTTTTTATATAAAAGAAACTAATGGAACTTTTTAAAGCGCTAACTAATTTAAATTAGAATTTTTGGTTTATTTTATAAATATAATGAAAGAGTTATTCAAATTTTTATAAAAAAAATTTATAAATTTCAGTTTATAAATTTCAGTCTCTTATTAATACGATAAGAGCGATTCCAATCGACAATTCATTAGTTGATGCGGAACTCGTAAATGGTAAATATTTATTCACTGATCCTCGTACCACAATAAATTTATGATAATTGTTTGGATTGATCAATATTTCTTTTAAAATCAAATAAAAATTTTTTAAATTATTTTAAACATAAATATAATAATGCATAGTTTCAATTATTTTTACAAAAAAATTTACTTATTATTTTTTACGAAATTTAAATTTCTTATCATTTTTGATCACTAGCTTATCGAATAAAACAAATTTTGCTAGATCATATCATCACTAGAGCAATAAAATTATAGGTGATAAATCATCAATATAATCCGGATTTTTTTTAAAAGGTAGATTTATTCCTATTCCGGTGAGTAGAACTTTGGCATCGGCGCTCCAAAATTAGAACAAAATTCCGTTGAGCCATTCATTCTATTTTCTCAATTAAATCTGCAAAATTTTATTCGAAATTGAAAAAAGAAAAAAAAAATTTCTTATATAAGAAAAGCGAAAATAAATTAGATTAAAGAAGAGAAAATAAAATATTAAATAAATGAGCATTTAGAAATGATTAATTATCATAAAATTATGATAAATTTTTTAATAATTTCGACAAATTTTGACATATTTCGCAAGAAATAAAAATATGGAATTAAATATTTTCAACAATATTTCATTGTTATATCATTCGCTGGCAAATTTTTTTTCTTTTTTTGTTTCTTTTTAAAATATTTAGAATGTGTTTCAAACAAAAGCGTTGATTTGGTTTTAATTCTCGATGGATCTGGATCGATCGGCGATCAAACCTTTCAATTACAAGTATGCAACATTGATCTCGTAAAATTCTCCTTATCCACCTCTTCTGAGTGATACGGCTTAACCTCTGCAATTTCTCTATTGCAGACCTTGAAGATTGAGGTAAGGTAGATAAGCTTTTAGAGAATCTCGTCTAAAGACTTTCATCGGAAAGGTAGAGAGGATCTACATATATATAAGGAATATGAGAGGAAAACTATAAAAGATATGGAAAGTGAAGGATAAAATAATTCTGATGATAATTGGAATGCTTGACCTCTAAACTAGAAAGGTTCAGGAAATTCAGGAGACTCTAGAAACGGCATCAGAGATCAGAGATCTATTCGAAAGAGTTCACCATTGGGATTAGTTAAGATACCCTCAATCTCTAAGTCTTTAGCAGAAAGCCCAAGATTGAGGACGATCATTGCCACCAAAGCGAATCAGAAAGAATGCTTATTTGGAGCACTGATACTAAATAATTGTTTTGTACGAAAAATTTTTATCATATAATCATAATTTTTTACTCACATGCTAGTTTTAGCTTGATTTTGCGGCGCATCTTATGCGAAGGCTAAATATTTCTGCAGAAACAAGTCAAATGGCTGTCATACAATATGCAGAGACGCCACGATTGGAAATGTCATTGAATCAGTTTTCGCAGCCAAGTCAAGTAAATAAAATTTTCAACATATCTATGAATAGATTTTTTAGAGTTTATTTTTTTATTTATTTACTGAAAATCAGCTAAGCAGGGCGCAAACGCTATGTGCTTGTATTAATAACAACAGTTAAAATAATAATAAATAATAATAATTAATGAGAAAAACAAAAAAAAATTAACAATTTAAAGATGAAATAAAGAGGAAATTACAGAATAATACAATATAGTACTATTCGAAACAATTATAATTGGTAAAAATCGAGATTTCACACTTCCTGCATGTTGTGAACTTTTTAGATAATATCATAAATGATATTATCTAATCTTTTTTCAAAGATTGCTAGAGATGGCGCAAAAGCTATATCATTCGTTGATTTATTCCAGTAATTAATAGTACGAATAAAGAAATCATGAGTTACTGACTTCGTTAATTCTATTGTAACCATGTATTTATAGACAAAACTCAAAAGGTTAAATAATCCTTTGTTATGTCCTGGTTAATCCTGGAATCTCGATTCGCTTTACTGACGCTTCTTAATATTTCCACGAGGCATTCTGCTTATTCACTTTCTCATTTTTCTGTTACAAAAAATAAATATTATTTTCGATGAAATTTGCGAAATTTCAATAAATTATTGTCGAAATTTATTAAAAAAATAATAAATAATCGACGTTATTTTTAAAAAAAAAGACCTAATTGAGTGATAAATATTATCAAACAAAAAACATTAAATATATTAGGCATTAAAGAAGAAAAGATACCAGAATTTGACCTGAAAACGAATATTTTAGTTGTCCACGATTGACAGAACTTAGTAGTCAATTGACTAAAGTACAAATATTATTTGAACTTATATGAAATATGAGCATTTTATACGATTCATAAAAGTTGGCTGTGTGAAATTAATATCGCCAATAATTCTAAATTCTAACATAGTATAACTAAATTTTGACTAAATAAAATCATTGTTTAGCCTCGAATTTTCAATAATCACAGTAAAGTATACTTAATTACTTACATTTATTAGTATAGTTGTAGTTATTATTTAACGTATGAATATAAAAATTTATATTCAAAATTAATTAATACTAATAAAAAATTTAGAAAATTAATAAAAATTTTTATTCCCTAAAGATTAATAAATTTAATGATTAGCCACCATGAAAACAACGATCGAATATATTAATTTGTTACGATTAGTGCTTTTTTTTTTCTTAATAAATAGCTATTAGTCGATTTCAGATGGAATGGGCTATCAGAAGGATAAAATATCAATCAGGTGCAACTAATACGGGAGCCGCATTACGATTTGCTTTAGAAAAAGGTTTTCAGGTAATTTTATAATTATAATATGATTATATATCCATTATCGAGAATTTTTTCTTTTGGTTGATAATTTCTCATAATAGTGATTTATATAAATTAATCCCTTTGTATTCTCCTTCCTTGTGAAAATTAAAAAAATTAAGCATATTTATCAAATCGCCTTCAACATGACTAATAATTACACGATTAAATATTTGCTTAAGCATAGGAAAATGTAAATTTTAAGAATTTTCATATTATATATGAATTTTTGCTATAAATTTTTTATTTGTTTATTATTATTTAAAAATTATTTTCTATGAATTTTTTTTTTTTTTGCTCTTTAGTTAGCTGATTGAAGCTTTTCTAGTAATTTGTATTCTTCTATGGTAATTCATTTAGGGTGCACGTGGTGGTAATATTCCAAAAGTCGCTGTTGTTGTAACTGATGGTCAATCTCAGGATAGTGTTTCTGAACCAGCACAACAACTTAGAGATGCTCATGTATTGCTTTATGCAGTTGGCGTAACAAATCTTGTCGATGTACATCAATTACATCAAGTATGAATCCATATGCTTTGTGAATTCTGTAAATTTAAAGGCTATTTTATAGGCTATTTTAATAACACTCAGAGATTTTTACAAAGTGACCTTAACAAGATGTTAGATTTTAATCTTTAGGAATTGTTTTTCTTAGTCAAATCTGTATTCCATTTGTAAAACCACTTGTAAGGTTAGTTGTATGTTAGCAATTTGTATCATAAGTACCACTGGCTAACAGCTATTAGCCTGTTAGCGATTGGCAATGAGAGAACTTTCTCAGTTATTATCATCACTGGCGATTATTTCCTATTGTATTTGAAATCTTTCTAATTGTCTTAATTTTCCTTATTAAAATATTTTTATAAACTCGAAATTATAGTGTTTTTTTAAAGATCGCTGGTAATCCAATACGTGTCTTCACTGTTGAATCGTTTGATGAACTTGATAAATCGTTGGCCGATTCACTTACTTGGGATATGTGTAAAACAGAATTTAGTAATTTTATTCGACAATTTTTTATTTGCCAATTTTAATTAATTGAGTAGTTATTACCCTTATAATTATTATTTTTAATTTCTTAAAATTAACCTCTTTAATATGGATGGAAAGTAGAATGGCTCAGTGTTGTTGCTCAGTTCGGAGCGCCGATGCTGAGGTTCTACTCTCGACAGGATTAAGCCTATCCAGAAATCTGGGTGTTACTCATCAATACTTCTATCGTCAAGAGATCCCCTAGCATATTAGTCCAATGCGATAAGCCAGCGGAGCGAGTCTAACCAATAATGATGAGAGCTTTTTAAATTTAGCAGCCTATTTCATTCAAGTCATGGAACTTTGATTTCTACTGATAAGTAATTAATGTCAGTCTAGCAGTCTAAAATCAAATCAACAAATTTTTAGATTTTCAAAGCAGTATAGCAAATAATTTTAATAATGCGAATGATCACCATTTAATTAAAATTATTTTTGAGGGCCAGGCACACCGGATATAATTTGTGCACCGGATCGAATTGGTGTTCGAGCTTCTACGAGAAAACCCTTCGATGGCTATGTATTTGTGATGGATCATTTTCATAAGAAAGAATGTCGGATGGGGCCAGAAGAATTTCCCGATCCGCGTAGTATCGGTCTTACAGTTCCGTTCACTGATTGTAATGTTCATCGTTATCGCTCAGTAAATTCACTAATCTTTTTTTTTTCAACTTGTTTTCAAATGCCATAAAAAAACCGGAGCCCAATATCCGAAACGATTGTATTATACTGAACTGAACTGACTATAATCAATGTTTTCTCAGACTTTTTTTTTTATCACACTTTATCACGGAACACTTTACAATGTGATTACGGAATATTTACGGAATATATTTAAGATGAATTTGTGATTATTTGGGTTTGAGAAAACGAAAACAATTATTATTCATCAAGTGTATTAATTCATAGAAAATCACCATAAAATATTTGCGTATAAAAAATTTTTGGAAAAAAATTAAAATTGAATAAATAAGCAAAATAAGCAAAAATAAGCAAAAATTTATTAATAAAAATGGAAATAAACACAAATAAGTGCATATTGCAAACATAAATAAACACGTGAATAAATTATATTTAAAAATTATTTTAAATATAATTTTATTAAATGTATAACAAATAAGTGTAATAAATAAATATATATAATTTAAATATTAAATAAATATAATTAAATAAATAATTTAAATACAATAAATAAAATAAATAAAATTAGCGATTTTCCAAGGATTTCTGATCGTTTATTTGATTTTTTTAATAATTTCATTTTCATTTACTAAAATATATACGAAAATTTGCAGCTAAATCCAAGAGGAATATTCGTGGAAATGACTGTCGTTTTCATGTTTCATACCGTGTAAGTTTTGCTTTTGCTTTTTCCGTATTAAAAATTTATTAATAACGAAATAAAATTTGCTAATTTTAATGTGAATTTTTTATTTGGTAGTATATTTGGCGAATTATGTCTAAAAATGGAAAGGATTTGTTCTGAATTTGTTGATCGTAAAAAATCGTTTAAAAAGATTTTTTTTGACCCAATTAGATGGAAAAGAAATTTTGCTTATGTCAAAAATGAAAATAAAAATAAAAAAAAAGAAAAAATTGAATAAATTGATAAATTTTAGCTTTATGACAAAAGTTGATCAAATGGTTAAAGTACAATGCTTCTATATGGAATCCGATAAAGCTGTAACGGTACCACTGGAAGTGAGGTTAGATAAAGAAATTTTGATAAAAATGATAATCGATGCAAATAAATAAATTTACTAATTTTTTTTTTTAAGAGTATTATTTTTTCTGATTAGCTCCGCTGGCCTATCTAAATTCTTATCTAACAATTGCGTTTTTTCCTAAGCTTGATTACTTGCCGATAAAAATATAGTTGAATCGTCAGCAAAATTCGAATTTTTAAAATGTTGGTTTACTTGTTGGTTTAGAAATGAGAATTCTATTATCGACGCTCCAAATAGTCCACTGAGCTATTCCACTCTAAATAGATTAATAGATTCATTTGTTTTAACTGTGGAACTTATTTGTGAAAGAATTGTAAAAAAAAAAATCATGAATTCGTGAGTTGTGCATGAACTTGTCGATGATTAGACCAATTTATTATAGCATGATAACAACACAATTTCGTGAAAGAATGTATGAAATGCCACAATTATGAAATGCCACAATGTGATTATACACTTCGTCGAGGTTCAGTCGATGGTCCAATTGTTGCTTTTGCAACGCTTGGTGAAAGCATTTATCATCGTTGGGAATGTATAGATAAATCGGATACATTTGGAATGTTAATACATTCTTGCTTCGTTGATGATGGATATGGTAATCAAGTGGATATTTTAGATAAAAATGGGTTAGTTGCTATTATTCAATGAAAATAAATGTTTGATATCAAATGATAACCTGTTATTCATATCACTAGTCAAAAACGATCAATCTTTATCAAAAACTTGTTAAAAAAAAAAAAAAGACGGAACAACTAAGAAATTCATTATTATCACCAGCTATTATTATCGACGGCATTGATTGGATAAAAAACCATAACTTTTTAACGACAAAATAATTATTATATCATCAAAGATTTGATAATTTTTATATTCGACTTATCTAAATCTATATCTAGTTTTTTTATCAATTCAGTATCTGTCGCACTGATAAGGATGAAAGAAAAGAGAAGGAAGATTATTCTATAAATTTGATTTCAAAAAAATCAGAATAAATTGAAAAGACAAAAATTCATAAAAATTTTTATATGAAATATGCTCTTATTTTTATACGAAAAATTTGAATTTTTATTCTAAAAAAAAAGAAAAAATTTTAAAAATTCCTTAATAGATGATTCTCGTTTTTCTTTAGTTGTGGCATTGATGCGGTACTTTTATCAACGCCAGATTATGATAGCAATTTACGTTTAGCTAATAAACCTTATCATGTATTTAAATATGCAGATCGACTCGTACTTCAATTTCAATGCCAAGTATGAGATTTCATTTTTAGAATTCAAGAAGGAAATATGTTAAAATATCTATTGAAAAACTTTTAAACTTATTTGTACTTATTTATTCCTGTAGGTGACGCTTTGTTTGAAATATAACGGCGGATGTAGCGAAATTACGCCACCTAATTGTCCAGAAACATTAGCGCATCAACATCATCGACCTATCACTCGACGTTCACGTTCAATATTCGATTCTTCTAGTACATTTGATATTTTTACGAGATCAATACAAATTATTGATAACGTACCAGAATGTCCAACATTCATGCCTAATGCATATTTTTATATTTTACCAATTTCTGCGACAATAATTAACGTTTGTTTTTTATGTATTAGTTTATTCTTTTATATAAGGCGCTCATCGATTCAATGATTGCCGCCTCATTCTGCGGGTTAAAATTTTATTTCAAAGCATGAAATCCTTAGTAATCCTTAGTTCTTAGTAATTCCATGATACCTAATCAGTAGTGTGGCACAATGATTTATAGATAATAATTAAATAAGCATTTTAGATTAACCAATGATAACGATTTATTGAAATCGGTAATTCTTTTTCGAACCATCGTTAGAGGAATGATAATATCTATTTATCAGGCAAAATTATCAAAAATAGGCGGAAAAATTTATAAAGAATTTTCATCCCCACAGATTTAACGAATCCACTAATCATAAATTAAGATACAATTTAGCATTCCCATATGAATATCATATAATTCCTTTTATTGATACTGCGTGGAGTCAAACTAGGTGCACCTCAAATTATTTACTGGTACCAACAATAATTTTATTTTATCATTTTTAGTTCTCTTGCCTTTAGTATATTTATCTACACTTGCAGTCATATGCAATGCCTTATATAAATTATATATACATTTAAAAAATTTGTAAATAAATATATATTTATGTATAAAAGAGCCCTATTTTTGAAATTTTTTTTAGTGGTTTAACTTTTTTCAATAAAACGAATTAATTTGATAATTTTCAAATTTTACAAAAGATTAGCTTTTTTTAATAAAAGACTTTTATTACATAATTTTTGTTTTTATTATTTTCTTTATTTGAATTCTTTATTATTTTTATTAATTTTTATTTTAAAAGGAGAAATATGTGAAATAAAAATTCTATATGTGAAATTTCAAAAAAGCTTCAAGCTTTTCATCATAATTTAATCTAATTTTCGATAAATCAAAAATTTTTAGAAAAATTTTCGCTTAGAAAAAAATTCTTAGAAATTTTTAAAATTTTTCTAAGAATTTTAAAAATTATAATTTAAAAAAAATTTCCCAAAATATTTTCCTAATTTAGTATTTGTTTTTGCTTACAGAAAATTGTATTAATTAAAATAAAATGAGATGAAAATAAAGTAAAACATTTAAAATGTTAAAATATAAACTGTTTTAACACAACTACGTTGATAAATTTATCGCTCATTTATAAAAAAATAAAGGAAAATAAAGAAATATTAAATATTATATTAAGAAATATTAATATTAAATATTAAAATAAAAACTAATTCACAAATTTTGAATCGAAATATTTTAAATATTTACGTATTTTATAATCTGCTTATTTACGAGAACTTAACCAGAAGGCTCATTATGTATGGATTCTCAATTTATCTTTACCATCCATAAATATATCCAGCGCCTAATATTTGTATTATCAAATTTTGAATAATAAGCACACGCATATAAATATATATTCATATAGTTTATTTACATTAGTACATTTGAAAAACCTACGAAATATAATTAAATAACTATATACTATATTAAAATAAAAATATAAATTTTTTGAAAAATATGAGTTTTTCACACATAACATGAAAAATATACGAAAAAATTAAAAAAAAGTGAAAAAATTTATATTTCCCATGCGTCAACTAAAGGATTACGAATAGACAATGCATAGCAAATCCGTTTATTTATGAGAACTCAATCTTTGATAACCAACACAGACCTTTCGAACATTATGAAGTACTTTGCTTATTCCTGAAATAAAGAAGTTATCATGGAAACTTCTCAGATTTCTTTAGTTCCAATTTTTTCATTTCTCAAAAACGCACCATGATAATGCACCGCGCGAAAACCATTCATTAAATCTAAAGAATTTCAGTAGTATTAACTTTGAATCACTATCACATTTTTAATTCGAATAACATTTTTTAGGTAAATTTATTATAAAATAAAAAAATAATAACCATTTTTCAATGTTTGATAGTACAGTTAGAGCAAGAGAGCGCATGCTACTTGATGATCGATTATCGTCCACAACCATTTGCAGCAGCGGAACACCACCTTCTTTAATTACGTAAGAGCAATATTTATCACCTGAAAATATTCCAACATATTTTCTTAATTGCACAAAATTTTATTATAAATAAAAAAAAGAAATAAAAATAAAAGAAAAATTAATTAAGGATACCAAATCTAATATAAAATTACCAAAATAAGAGCAATAAAACAAATTATCAAAGAATAATATCTTAAAAAAAACTACTTACTATCTGTGGATGTAAGATTGGCTAAAGCCCAAATCGCCCAATGTTGACTAGCCGGAGAATCGAACATAGGAATTAAACGCAAAATTGGTTTAAATGAACGATAATTTATAAACCGACGAGCGTTCAACGCCCAATTTGCCGTCGCCTAAAATCAAAAAATATATCGTTTAATAAATATTATTTTAAAAAATAATCAGAAACCACAACAGAAACTATTAACTTATTCCATATAGCATATAGGCTATAATAAGCATTTATTATAGTCATAACAAATTCATTAATTTATTAATTTATTTCCTCATAAAAATAACAATAAAAAAGGAAAAATAAAAATAAATAAATAAATAAAATAAATAAAAAGTAAGCAAAAAAATATAATAAAATAAAGCAGATGAATTCATTAGATGAAATCCACTGATGAACACATAAAATCTGATTATCTGATGGACAACAAAGAAAAGTTTTTCGTAAAAACTGATTAAACAAATTTCATTTTTCGATAAGAAAAAAAAAACAAACCTCGATGATTCTAGCCATAACATGCTCTCGTGAAACACTAACACTTATCCAAGCAACATCACCATCGCTTACCATATGTGCCAGCACACCAGCACTATTATAGCTGATTTCAATACCATCGACTAACATATTAAGGAGCGCACTGAAAATTTGTTCATATATTTGAAAATTTGCTTTGAAATCTTTTTCACAGAATCTGACAAACCTTCGAGAAGTTTAAAAAATAGATCATAGGAAATATAATGCATTAAAAATTATGAAACAGTTAAAATTACAAATTTCATAATTACAACTAAAAATCGAGGATCAATTCCATGACGGTTATTTTAATAAAAAAATTAATAAAAAGATAAAAAAATGAACCAAAAAATATTGATATAGTCATCATTCATAAGCTGACAACGCAAATATTCAACTTCAGCTATATTTCCAATTAAACCCATCATATTGCGAACAAGTTCTGTTTCATTTTGAAATTGCTGATAACACTGGTGGAACAGGCGAAGCCCATCAGCTGCCAAAAATCTTTCACAATTCGTGGGAGTTTCATCTAAATAAAAAGAGCCCTAAATATTTCCAGTCTCATTTTATGAAGCAAATCTCGTATTTCGTTTTGATTATAAGTGAAAAAAAAGAAAACAAGTAAAACAAAGCATAACAACTGTCTTAAAAATTCTAAACACATGAAATATTTTAAAATATAACCACAATAAAATATAACAATAGCCATGATATTACAACTGAAAAAAACATATCATATCAAAAACACAACTGAAAAAAACAAAATGTGAATAAAAAATCTTTAAAACCTGTAATATTCCACAGAAAACTCCAACCCACTTCCATTACATCATCACAAACACCCGCTGCAAGCTTTCGCTGAATTTGTTCTAATATTACCTGAAAGGTGAAAGATTATATTACATCATAATCCAGCCATAATCCGGATTTTTAGGACGGTTTTACCCTTAACGAACCAAACTATTGATTCTGAACGATAATTTACTTCACTAGCCTGCCTCTACTTCCAAAGCTGAAATTCAATTAATTCAAATTCAAATTATTTAAGAATCAACCTCTATAGCGCCCAAGTTACCAACTTGCACTTTTTGTTCACCCTCAACGTGACATGCCATGGAATTTAATAGAAATACAACGATACGCTGCGTCAAATGATCGCTACTATGATGTTGCAGTACTGCTACCAGAAGTCGAGCTACACGATTATAATCAAATAATATTTCAAGCGGTATTTCAAACTGACATAATGAAAGGCAACAGTTCCTGACCATCACCTAAAATCGGCAAATAAATTCCAGGCAAAATGATAACCTGGGAATTTTTGGCACTTTGATCTGAACTTTAAAAAAAACAACCTGTTCTTCCATGTGCGCATCCATACCGTTTAGTAAAGTAGTAACCACTTTCCTTTTTGTATCGCGATTCATAATTACTTTCCTTATAATATAAAAAAGTGATGCAGAACCAGCAATTTGCAATGTACTGTCTTCTAAATGTCGCCTCATTGCTTTTAAGACCAAATGTAGAGCTTCGCTGTGACGTGACTTAAATTTTAGAGGATCAATATTAAAAAAAATTTTTTTTAACGAAACCTCATTATAACTGGTTAGACTCGTTCCGCTGGTTTTTTCGCGCTAAAAGGGAGCTCTTTGGTGATAGAAATACTGATGAGTCAAATTCAACCAGATTTTTTGGACACGTTTACTCTTGTGGAGAGTAGAGCCCCAGCATCAAAATGAGCAACAACTCATTGAATCATTTTATGCCCCTTGTCAAAAAAACTGCAAACAAAAAACATCAAAATTTCTAAAATTTCTTATTCAATGCATAACCATTAAACATATAGTTCACAATGAATAATAATTCTTTTGAATTTTGTAATTTCGAGAATTTAATAATAGTGATATTTAACCAAACTAATATCGAATTAAAAACACTCACTAGGTTATGGCCGAATCTATAAAGCTGATAACTTTCATTAAGAACTCCTTGTAAAAGACCAGCACGTTCACAATACATCTCAAGAGCCAGCAGAATCTGATTTTCATCCTTGTCGCCAGATATCTAAAAAATAAAAAAAACTAAATATAAATAATGAATAATAAATCTTAAAAAATATCAATCTAATATAATCAATAACAAAAATTACTATATTTGACAATGATTGGAACATATTGTATTGATTAAAGAAATCTTTAAGAAATAACTAACGAATTTGGCAGGTATTTCCATAAAATGCGAAGCGCTATCACAGTTAAAAAGACCAAGATATTCAAGCGGTTCATTTAAACAGCGTAGCCCATAAATATCCGAACGAACTGAACCATCACTACAAAGAATGAAAATTTTTTTTCATTTAACTTAGTTTTCTGTGTAATATTATACAAAAATATATACAGAAAAAACGATTTGAAATTGATAATAAACGATGAGCTGATTTGCATTAATACTTAATAGATTTCCATGTGTTCAAATATGCTTTTTACGATATTAAAACGCAATATAAATTGTGAATAGTTCAAAAATCACATTATTGGTGGTCTATCTTGTGAAGAAGGCTGAGCAGCAAGATTAGTAGAGGAAATATCAAGATGAGTTAAATTAGGAAGGCGCGAAACAATTCGATTGAGAGCAGTCACAGGTCGAGGATATATTCCTGTCCCCTTAGAGCTTTGAGATAGATCAAGAAATCTAAAATGAATGCTTTTATTAAATCTTTTCTTTTATTAAATCTCTTATTACTTAGTAAAAGCTTGACAATATTTGGCAAAAAAATATTATTTTAAATATTCATAAATATTCATAAAAAATATAAATATTTTAAATATTTATAAGAATTTTTAAAATGAAGATTGATGAGCATAAAATTTAAATTTTTCTTTATAAAAATATTTTATTAATTACTAGATTACGAGAGTGAAAAATGAATAAATACTTGAGTTGGACAAGCTGAACTATGGTATCTAATGCTCGATAAAGATCGGGCACATCATATAAAATGAGTACAGTGAGTGAGAGAAAACTGATTGCATGAAGATCATCGACGCGTTGCCATTGAGAAAGATCCAATTTTTTTAAACGTTTTAAAGGTGATAAAACTCGCCGTAAAAATTCGTTAACTGATTCAAAGTCTTCTCTGTGCCCAGTTCCTTGCCTCTGCAAAAAAAACCTCATTAACTTACTGGGCTATTGATAATAAAAAAATTCGCTGATGTTAAGATTAAAATTATTTTCTGTTAAATTTAAATCCACCCCATTAATAATTGGACAGAGTTATTTGTAATACTATTCTCGCTGCCCGCATATCAATCAATCCTACAGTGTTTTAATAATAATTAATATTAAAATATGTCAATTTCTTTGACATAACCTTCGCAAGTAGATACCGGTGTGCGCCAAAGTTTTTTATTTTTACACTTTTTAACTATAGGATAGATTGGATAAAGTTGTCTGTATTTAATAGAATAAATCAGTCCAGAGCATAGATTGTTCAGTGTATTTGATGTTCTTTTCGCAGTTATAAGGAACTGCAATAAACACTAGACCTACTAAATCAATGAAAACAAGAAACTATTTCATCCTATACCCAATAAAATCGAAATTCGTATAAATTTCATAAATGATTGAAGAAGCCTCAGACTTTAAATATCTCGGATCCAGTATCTAATAGCTAGGCGAAAGATGAAATCCCACATCGGACGACTCAGAGGTGCTTTCTTTCGTCTGGCGAAACCTCTTTAGAAGAAAATCAGCATCTAAACTAAAGTTCTGTCTGGCTTTAGAATGCAAAACCTATTGATACAAAATTTTGCCAGTGATAGTGGAAGACATCAGAAAGCTATAGCCTTTGACTATCCTAACCTAAGGTACATTCTACGCATTCGCTAAATGAACAAGGTCTCCTCGAACTATTTGCATCTAAAATATTGTCATAAAGCATTATCTGCACTGGCTTGGCATGCATATTTCAAAGGAACTGACGTACATCTCACTACCTCTTAAACCCTATGATGAATGTCAACAAAAGCGAGCTAATCAAGACTTGGACTGATAGGGCCAGTATAGATCGAACCGAATGAGTAATGGTGCGAGTTAGAAGAAGAAAGAAGAGACATTAATATGTTCCACTTTCATTCAGACAGCAAACATTAGTTTGAATCCGGTCTGTTAATGATAAATGCTTCGACTAAAAAACTCGATAAAAAAGAGAACAGACCCGTTGCAAAGTTAATGATTCGATATTGGGACAACGAGATGTGAAGGACTCAAATTCAACAACAGATCTGATCTGATCAGAATTACAACTGAAAATTTATGTTAAAAGAAAATAATTTAGATGAATCATAAATTCATTTCATGATATATTATGCATGCAAAAAACAATTTGACAAACAAAAATTTCTTAATCAATATATATATATGTATAAGTTTAAAAAGAAATTTAAAATATTTTTAATATGAAAAAATATGAATAATTTAAAAAATTAAAAATATCAGAAATATGCCAGTATTAACTATGGTCAAACTATTTTGAAATTTTGCAAAAAAAACAAACTTAAGATTTGTAGGTGGATCATCACATTCCATATAGGGAATGCTAATACTCGAATGAGCAAGATCTTCAACGGAAAGAACTGGTAAACCATTTCCATCACCTATGCATATAACACCATGTTTACGTTGTGGAACCGCTGCTGAAGGAATAACAAGTATCTCAAACGAAGTCATTCGTAATACAAGAAGACGCTCCAGAAAAACACTATTCTCTTCCATCAATCGATTAAATTCATGACCAACCAAACCCTTCAAATAAATATATTGAGTTCAATTTATTAAATATATTTTGAAAAAAACAAGCAAAAATGCTCAAAAAGAGAATTTCTAATAAAAATAAAAAAATGGAGGCAATTATAAGAAAATAAATATGAAACAATTTTTAAAAATTTTATTTAATTTTAATTTTGCTTGTTTCCACAAAATATTGTTTATTCTTGGAAATTTTTTTTTTGGAATAATTCAAAACAATCAACGTTGTGATGAAATGATAAAATTTGAAGAGAAAAAATAAAATCGTTGGATTTTTTTCAACCGTTCCATATGCATTCGTGGATTCGATACTTTTTCCATTTGATTCATTTGTGTCCTATCTCGATCCGTAAATATTAGTAGGACAAAACAAATATGAGCAAGAAGAAGAAGAAAAAAACCTGAACATCAGATATATCAAGGAAGACGAGTCTCGATTTGTTCGCGATAATAAGATCAGCAAGAAGGCGATCAGATAAATGAGCGCGACATAATACTAATTCATCTAATGGTAATTGTTTTGAAGCAAAACGTCGTAAAGCATTTGTGGGTGTTATACCCTGAAATTTAATTAATATAATAATAAATAAAAGCATAGATACAATAAAATTTGCTTCTCGGGAAAAATTTAACTGCCTTCAATTTCCTAGAAATCGATTAGCTGCAAGGTACTTCGAATTATACTAAAAACTTAACGTAACGATCGTCAAACTAATCTCTATGGATCTCTGAGGATCCAATGGCAATTCTCAAAGTGATGCATGGAAAATCCGAGCAATACTAGCATCTCATCCTCTGGCATATTTGTCTAACTCGACAAGCCAGTGGAATAATTCTAAGTAATAATGGTGAATGTTCCTTAAAAAAAAAAAAAAAAAAAAATTAATGATCTATAATTGATAAAAAAGATGATATTTTTAAATAAACAAAAGAAGATAAAACAAACAGTTTGGATCCATTTCTTCCTAAGTGCCGAAAGTGTTGCTGTACTACATGGTAATGGAAGTACCAAATCTTCTTCTATATCACATTTTTCTCTTCGTACATTTGCATTATCACCGCATAATTCTTCATCTATTTCCATATCGCATTCATCTTTTGATTCAAAACCACCACCATTATTACTATGATTACCATTATTACCACTACCACCATCATCAGCATTAGTTATAATATTATTATAATTCGCGCAATTGTCATTAGTGCTTCCATCCATATGTACATCGTGTTGTTGTTGTTCATTATCATTACCAACATTATCATCGTTATCATTATCGTTATCATTTGTTTTGATCGGAAAGATTTCTACTAAATTATTAGCGACGAATTCGGCGGAAAGGTCTAATAACCGTGGAGCTTGAACTGGTACATCCGATTCCAGAAATGTCATCTCTTTTTCCACAGTAAAAAAAAATCCCTATAAATTAGAAAAAAATCATCGTCGTATAATATATTAAATAAACGAGAGGAAAATTTTCAAGAACGAAAAGTTCTAAGACTAACAGCCCTCAGGCTAATCGAAATTTTAAGCGCTCAAGCTTCGTAACATAAAATCGTGGCGCTCCGAAAATAGGGCTACAAATGTCCACAAAAATGGGAAATGGTATCGAATCAAGGATTTAAGCCTTTCGATTAGTACCACGCAAATCGACTATGCTTCGTTTAAAAAAAAAAAAAAAACCGTAGAAGATCGTAAATATCCCATATTTTCATCATTTTTCATTATTTTTTATTAAATAAAATAATTAAGAAAATTAATTTCTTAGAAAAAAAAGCGATAAAAATAAATTTAAGTAGTTAAAACAAAAAAAAAAAATTATTTTTTAAAAAAATTAATCGAAAAAACTTTTTTTCAAATAATCAAATTTTATTAAAAAAATTAATTATTATTAGTCGAAAATTAGAAATCAATTAAATTTTTTTTCTTTAAAATATTTTTTTTTTTAATATTCATTTTTTTCAATCAAATTTATTATCTTTTTTCTTTCTAAATTTTATAAATTTTCAATGGCAAATTTTTGTTATTGAAAATTAAAAAAAGCATTTTTAAAATGAATTTTAATAAAATACAAATATTTATTGGTGAAAAATAAAAAAAAAATATTTTTTAAAATAAAAGAAAATATTATTGTAAACGATTAAAATTATCGAATATTAAAGTGCCGAATTATTCGACTGCAGTTCGATACTTGCGGGTTTGTTAATAGTGCTTTGCTGTTGCTTCATTTCCTCGGAATTTGCTGTCTACGCCAGTTTTCTCCATCAAATTTCCAAAATCCTCGGGGTTCTTCATTTTTTTCCCTTCGCTTTTCCTAATGCATTCACTTCCCATTAATTTTTTCCCATAAATTCAATACCCATTACGTTCTCGAATAAATTCACTTCTCATTCGATAAATTCCCTTCCCATCACGTTTCCCACTAAATTCCCTTCCCATCACATTTCCCATTAAATTCCCTTCCCATCACGTTTCCCATTAAATTCCCTTCCCGTCACGTTTCCCATTAAATTCCCTTCCCATCACGTTTCCCACTAAATTCCCTCCCCGTCACGTTTCTCACTAAATTCCCTTCCCGTCACGTTTCCCATTAAATTCCCTTCCCGTCACGTTTCCCATTAAATTCTCTCCCCAACATTTTCTTAATAAATATTCACGGCATTTTTCTCAATATATTTCCCATTAAATTCTCTTCTTATCATATTTCTTAGAAAATTTCTTTTCATAATTTTATTATTATTATTACCACTAATTGTTATTAATTATTACTGTTATTTTTATTTTATAATTATTTTTATTATTATTTATTATTAATTATTATTACTATTAATTATTATTAGCTATTAAATAATTTATTATTTATTTCAATGGAACAAACAAAAGCGAAAAAATATTTTAAAAATATATAAATAAAAATTACTTTTTATTTTAATAAAATAAAATAAATCCAGAAAAATTCGATAAAAATACAATAAAAAAATCTTTGTTTAAAGTTTTTTTTTATCATTTTTATTTTTTCTATAATTTCTCTAATTTTCAATTCTTCTATTTTCTTTTACAAAAAATATTTTCGTCTAAAAAATAAATTATGATAAATTATTAACAAAAAAAATTTAAAAAAAATTATTAATTATTAATAGTTATTTTTTTTCGCTCAAATCTTTCAAAGTTTTATTACAAAAAAATTAATAAATTTTTTTTTTTTACTCATTTATAATAAAAATTTATTTCAACAGAAATTGATATTAAAATAAAAAAAAAAAATCTAAATCAAATGAAATGATTTCTTACTTTTCATTTTAAATTTATAATTTATAAATATTGAAAATTTAGAAATTTGTAAAAAATTTAAAAAAAATTAATTCCGAGAAAATAAAATTGGGCTTTAAAAGTTTTAATCCAGAAATAATAAATAAAAATATTTCAAGATTTGATCAAAGATCTATTAAGATTTGATTAAAGATCTATTAAGATTTGATTAAAGAAATCTCTTATCACTTTTGATCAATCACAAGATGCTTATTAAAAAAAATATTTAAAAAATATTAGAGAAATTAACGGTTCGATGATTTACGATGATGAAATATGTTTCGATTCTTATCATTAATATTATCATTAAATAAAACTTATCATTAACATAAAATCAATTCGAATTGCCGGTGGACTTTTTAGTGCAGATGGTCATCATTTGCGTTAAGAATACTATCACAAAGCATCATCTGCCCTGGTTAAGTCATCACAGAGATTGATATATACCTTTTTTCACTTGCTATACCTTATGATGGATGGATGGTGTTAAAAGGAGACGAAAGCCAACCAAGGTTTGAAGTAGCGGCGACATGATCAGTGCAAATTTTAACACATATATGGTACAATGAAATACGGGCTTAAATAATGTAGAAATGATGGACCTTGGTTATTTTCAAGATTGGTACCAGATCAAAAAGACTTACCCTAATCTCTAAGCAGTGAATCAAACCAGCGATTTATTTGGTACCAAAAATTATTATTGAAATAGTCGATATAACCAACCAAAACACAAATGATGTGTTATTGAAAAAAAAAAAAAAACAAAAGATAACAAATGATTTGCCGTTATGTATGATAAAATAACATAAAATAGAATTTATCACATGTTGAGATATCGCTTATCAGTAAGCCAGTAAGATTTATCAGAAATTAGGAAACAAAAATCGAAATAAATTTAATTCACAAATAAAAATTCTAAACTAACTAACCTGATAAATTAATTAAATTAGCACTAATACAAAATTATCAAATTAATCTTAATAGAGCTGGTTTTTTTATTGAAATATGATAAGAATAAATGTGATAAGAGAGGAAGGCGAGAGGATGAGAGGTGGGAGATGGGGGATAGGGAGAGAGAGGAACAAATAGGGAGAAAGGAAAGAGATGTGTAGAACGATAGCAAATAAAAATTTATTTTTATATAGTTTAAACATATTAATATAAATATTAAATAAATATTAAATAATATATATTAATATTTTAATATATATTATTATTTTAATATATATTAATATATTTAAAATATTTATAATAAAATATGATTTATATGGAAATCAATAGAGAAATACGAATTGTTGAATAGAAAGAAGCGAAGAGGTATGAAATGAAATTTTCAATTATCATAGGGGTGATTTATTGAAAAATGGTACCGGTTTTATGAGATACATCGTTATTACAACAAAAACTCATCGACGCTTAAAGCTGATTTATACGACTATTTGGGAAATTTTTTTTATAATAAATTTTTTTTTTTTTCTCTTCTTCATTTTCTTTTTACACAACCAGTTGTTGAAAATGAAAAAATAAAAAAAGGAGAAATACTAAGGAGAAATTTTGGCTGAAACACTTTTGAAAATACAAATGAACTGATCAAATAGTTGAAATCGCTGCCTGGAAGGTTTTTTTAAGGACATAGTTCCACATTTTGCGAAATTCACCCTCTAACCTCCCTTTCGAAATAGTATTAATAATTTTATTATATATATATATATATGTATATTACCAGTTTTGAATATAAGAATATACTATATTTTTGCTTTTTATAAAATATTTCGAATTTTCAAATTATTTATAATATTTGTAATATTATAAATATTTATAATATTTATAAATAATATTTATAATATAATATTTATAATATATTACAACTATTTATAAATAATGTAAATAATGTTTATAATATAGAGCAAATAAAATAAGATTTTTTTGAGTCTATCATCGAACTTCTTTCATCTGAAATCTTATCCACCGAACTGATAACTGATAACTGATTTACAGTGCACATCATTCTTGAAATTCTTGTTCGATTATCCCATCTACGAAAAATTTACTAAAATTTTTGTCCAATTATAATTTGTACGGTTCGACTAATTATCATCCGAACAATACTGATATCAGTGGAAATGATTATCGAATATGTTGCATCAAATATGAAACGAAGTATCACAAATATAATTCCTGGCCCTTGCCGAGAATATTAACATTAGAATTCGAACCCGGATGGTACTCAAAAACTATAAACTTTTATGATATCTTAGTGAAACAATTTTAGTATAAAAATCACTGAAACCAGTGATTTCAAGCTATAGAATTATGAACCATTCCCTAATATTCATCTCCTAATCTCTTTTTTTTATTTCTTCAATCGTTTAAGAATTGAACAAAATTGATTTCCTTGAAAATATTAATAAAAAAGCGCTTGGAACCAAAACAAACCAAAATTTTCGAAAAAAAAAGCTAACGACCTTATCAAAAAATATAAATATGATTTCGCAAATATGATTCGAGCATAAAATTTAATATACAGTTTTAATATACAGTTTAATTGGAGTTTAAATGAAAAAATAAAATTCCAAAATTTCAAGCCATTTTGTAAAAACGCAAATGAAAATTTCTAAAAAATATAAGAAAAATATATATATAAGAATGGTAAAAGTAATTGAAACATATTTGGTATTATATTTATTATAAACATTACAAACTTCTTATTTTTCATAAAACTATTTTCAATACTAATTTGAAAATTAAGTCCGAAATTGGACTACTGAATTGGATTTCAACGATATAGAATTAACTCCAAGATGAATCAATATAAATCAAAATCAATGTTAGCTACAATTTTAATGAAATAAAATGAAGCTGAACTGAATGATAAAAATGCGAAGAACGAATTCATGGCCGAAAGAATCACCCGTGGAACAAAAAAAAAACATCGAACATCTAGATAAACGAAGACTTTAGCAAAATACGCTATTTTTTCGTAAATTTTACGTAAACATCCATAAGTACAAGCATAGAACAAAGCAAAATTGGACCAATGATAGCTCCTTGTAATCCAAGCCAATATATTCCACCAATTATCGCTAAACCAGTAACGTAGGGATGACTTCCTCTAAAAAAAAACTTCAAATGCTTTAAAAAATTTTTGATTTTTGAAATATTAAAATTAAAATATTATTATAAAATATTATTAGGACAAATCAATAATTTCGCATAAAAATATAAATTTGGCATAAAATTGTCAAAATGTCACAATAATTGCTATGAATCTGAAGTAGAAATATTTGCCTTAATTCACAATAGAAAGCAAAATCAGCAAATATTTTGGGTGCGAAACTAGCAAGAACGAAAAGAAATGCTGCAGCAATTTCACCACGAACAATATATAATTCTATTGCACCAATGATACAAACAAAATGTGGTGCAACGATAGGAATTGCAGCAAATATTGCAGCCAACACTGAAAAATTTCTAATAGATTATGCAAAAAAAATTAAAATTTTTGCAATCCCCTATGATAAAATAAACTGATTGATAAAAATAAACCAACTTGATGGAACAAAAATAATATGTAAGCCAAATATTGTATGCACAAAATAAGTATATAATCCATAAAATGTGGCCATTTTCAACGATAAAACAAAGACACCACTAAAAAATTTCATTAAAATCCTCGCCAAAAAAAACATATGAAAATTTCTAATAGATTATGCAAACTCAAATTCGAAAATCCAACAGTTTTCCTCTCAATGAATAAATTATGCCCTATAATCACTAATTTACCTTATAGCACTTTCTATGGCTTCACTGATATTCATCGATTTAGAATCGCTCTGATCATTCTGATCATTAAATTTTAAAAAATTTGGTACCGAATTGCTGATCCATTTCAGAGGCAACCATTCATCATAACTACTAGACAGCAAGTAGTAAAGTGCAGTTAAAAAAACTATCTAAAAACTATAAAATTCGAAATTCCAAACTTAACATATTTTTTAATCTTCAATAAGTAGGAAAAACCAAAGAAATGAAAAATTATTTGGAAAATCCAATTATTATTCTAATATTCTATCTATAAAAATTTTTCATGCTTGATTTCCATGATTTACAGTTCCATTTGTGGAGAAAACTTACGATTTTAATGAAGAAATTCAAAATCCCTAAACCAAAAACAATAACTACACCGATTGTCGAGAAGAAAAATGAACCAATAAGTGATATATTCATCAATATCAATGACCACATTGATTGCAAAATCTGGAATAATATTGGAAAAATATTTCTTTCTTCAAAATTTAAGAAAGCGATCATGATAAAAGGGTTAAAAAGTTTTAAATGTAAATGTCAATGATAAAAGATAAGATATCTATGATGAAAAAGAACTTAAGGAAAATTCTTCTAGGAAAAATTTTAAAAAAGAATTATTTTATAAAATTTTGAATTTTTTCATTCCTTAATTTTAATTTTTTGCCAAAAAAATTACGAGAGAGAAAGATTAAATATATTAAATATTAAAGAAACAGGTATCAAGAAAAATTTAATTATAATAGATTAAAAATTATAACAATAAACTGAAGAAATATTGAAATAAAAAATTGTGATGATAAAAACCGTACAATCATCACATTACTTAGGAAGCTTGCAAAGATCTCTGATAAAAACTTAAAACATTGTGATTATTTATTATTATCTATTATTATCTGCCTTAGGAAATTTTCAAGAAAGCTGATGGAGTGAATTATGACATTTGTACAGGAATCGATCTAATGGATATTTCTTGGATATCTTTGTATTCATATTGCATTTATACAAAAAAAGAACATTATGCAGATAGTGCAAAGAACATGAATCTAAGAAAAAGCAAATTTTATGCAAAAAAATCATTGAATTAGTGATATCAAAGTTTTTTAACCGCAACAAGAAAAAAAAAAGCCAAAATTTTGATGAAAAAATTTTTAATGCCACTAACGTGTAATATCGTTTGAACATTCTCTTGTATGATTTTTATAATTTCTTCTTTGAGAGCGCTGAGATTCGTTACACTCGTCAACTGGCTTATCCACTGATCGGAGGATTTTTCATAGATATTTTTCGTACTTCTTTCCTCCCACATACGGTAAAAATTATCAAGGACCTATCAACTTATTTCATTCAAAAAAAATTTGAAAAATTTAATCAATTTTTTTTGTAAGCATAATAGCCCATTGTTTAAAATATGTTCTTAATGAGGCGAAATGATAAATGTGATAAAAATATAAGAATAAAATTATAATTATAAAATAAATCTAAAAAGTACTTCAATGACTTCCATTTCCAGTTTATCAGCTCTTTCAGTATCTTTTGGATCCACAAGTGACCGAATATTGGAGACAATCCATTCACGTCCCTTCTGATAACCCTAAAAATTTGAACCTTTTCCTTGATTGAAAAATTCAAATTTAAAGCCAATAAATGAAGAATATAATTAAGGGCTTATTTGTAGATACAATTCAATTATGAAAAAAAACCTGCTCCACATAACTGTCCAAATCATTTGGTTGAAATTGATCCCCAGTATAATTCATAGCAAAATTAAGCCAATCCGGTTGTTGTGCGAATACATTTGATCCCAACTTCGTTAAAAGAATTGCTTCGTTATGTAATTGAAAGATAACAAAAATGATAAGAAATAAAGAACCAAAAGCAAGTAGACCAATAACAATCATAGTTGAAATATCGTCCAGAAAAATTTGAATCGAATTACGAAACTACAAATAAAAACTTTTAGCATATAATTATAAAATATTTTCATTTATATTTATTATACAAATACAACAATTAAATTTCAAATATTAATTAATTATTTTGCTTATCTTACATTAAAATTTTCAGTAAATGTAATGAAAACTTACCATTTTGTCACTTGTAAAGATAAGTTTAAAAAATTTTCTTAACGGACTAGCAACTGTGACATGTACTATTCGTTTGATATATGCGTAAATCGCATCTTTTGATGAGGAAATAAAATCTGCTATTCCTGTTTGACTCATTATTGCCAATCCTATAAAGCTTTAATTTAACAATGAATCCACAGAAAAAAAACAAAAGATAAGTAATTTCAAAGCAGCAAGAAAATTATAGGTTTTTTAAACTTATGCATTAATAAATTTGATAAATTATTATCATTAGAAAATATGAAAAAAATACCGATTCGACGTAAAATTGCCATATTAAAAAGAACCACGAAAGAAACCAACAAAAAATCGTGCCGAGAAGCAAACGATAAAACACATAAACCAAAAATTGTCTAAAAATACTGAGATAAGACTGAGATGAGAAAAGGCGATCCACTTAATTATAAAAAAAATCTAAATAAATTAAATAAATTAATAAATAAATTAAAGATGGATATCGAAAAATTATTAAACTCTCGCATATAAGCAAAATTTTGCCAAAATATAATCAAAATTGAAAATAAATAAAAAATAAGATAAAAATAAGATTAAAAAATGAAATAACCTGAATATAGAAGTCACCTGTAAGTGCTTTATCAACCCTCTCAGCAACTTCTGTAGTTTTGGTTGGGCTTATTGGTTCTTTTTGCTTCTCATCATCTTAATTATTTTAAAATAAATATTAAGTATAAAACATTTATAAATCTTTAAAAATAAAATTATAAATAATAAAATAAAAAGAATTAAAAGAAATTATTAAAATATTCAAACGATAATTTTTGTCCAAATTGATTAAAAAAACTATAAATTAATCCATGATTTGAAGAAAAAAATCTTACGTTTCTCCTCATCCTCATCAGCAGATATAATTCCGCAAGCAATGAGACCAAGTACACTGGCTAAAGCGATGAATATCAAAACGCGTAATGGTCCAAAAAAAACTGATATAAAAGAAAGTGCAAAAATCCTACAAAATAAATAATTTTAATTTCAAAAATAAAATTCCCATAAAATTATAAATAAATAAGATAAATTATTATGTAGAATAATAAATATTGGCAAAGATAAAATTTTTTCATAAAATCGCAATGCAAAAATATATTTTGAAAATACTAAAAACGAATAGTGAACGCTCAAAAAACATACCACAATGGAACAGAAATTACACGGGCAACTTTTTTATTGACCGATTTTTCATCAAAAAGATAAATCCAACCCATATAAGCTGCCAAATATACTATGGCAAGCGGTAAAACCTACAAAATATGCATTCGACAACTGAATAAAATGCCCATTTATTTATTTATTTCAAACCAATGCAAAAAAAAACTTTTTCCTCATCCCCTTGTGGGTGGTCATGGTCATCTTCAACCACACCAGAGGTCTGAGAAATTGACGGTTCTGCATAGAATCTTAGTTGTTCCTATGTGCTGTTCTGGATAAAGGCTTCTGATACTGTTCCTGGAATTTTCTGAAGCCCTGAAGCCACTTTTATTTAGGGTTAAAAGTTTCAAGTGCTCGAATTGTCACTGGAATTACTTTGGCCATTATTTTCCATATCTTCTCTAGTTCCTCTTTCGGTCTCTAACTTCTCATATTCCTTCTTCTTAATGTTCCTGTCGCTTGATATTGCTATAATGCTATGCATATGCATATATTTATAATATTATAAATATTTTATATATTTTTATAATTTAATTAAATTTTATTGAATATATTAAATTTGTTAATATAAATATATACCCATTTCCTGTTCATGAATAGAATGAAGTTATCGATCGTATTATAGATATTCGCAATAACGCTTATAAAATATAGCAATATTCCATAATTGAGTATTTTCAAAAGGATAAAAATTGCCAAAGTAATAAGTCCCTCTTTTCTGTCAAAAAAATTAAAGAATAAAACCTTAGCAAAACTGAAAAATTGAAGAAAACAAAAAACTCGCAATAATAATTGTCAATTGTAGTTTCGCACTAAGTTACCTCACTTTATAATAAATTCCGTTCTCTTTCCAAAATATCAAGTGGTGAGTTTAGATGAAAAATGGAGCATAATTTTATTAGATTTTAGTTATAATAATTAATTATTAAAAAATATGATTTAAAAAAAAAAACCTTATAACATAGACAAGTAGCAAATCTGTCAAATAAATGAAAGAATTGTATGGCAAGAGAATGATAGCAACTAAAAGTGGTTTCGCATCATTATCCAATTCTTTCATCCAACCTTTAAAAAAAATATTATTTAATTTAATATAATAATATTTTTTTATTATTTGCCGTTAGCAGGATGGTTCCACTAGAACGAGGCGTTTCAAAGCACCTAGGTTATATGCCTGATTCATTGGAATTCATTGGAATACCTTCTTTTTCCACTATCTAAATGTCGACCGCGCTTATGCGATTAAATCTCTTCTGCAAACCTTGAGGCATCTCACTTTTGCGCGAGATTTAGCACATGTGATATATGTTAATTCTTGAAAATGATGAAGGGCGGTTTAACTAATGCGAGCTATGCTCATACTGTTTGTGGCACTTGGACGAGGCAATGTGTGAGACTCTATCCTCATAGTTTTTTAGGGAAGAACAATTCTCTTTGGGCTCATTGCAGTGAAATATGTCAATTCCATAAAATTTTTACAATAGGAGAAAAAAGCATTTCAAGAAGCATTTCATAAAAACGAAACTTGTAGCTATCGAAGCTGTCGAATTTCGTTGCCTAAGAATATTTACTGAAATGTAGAAGCTGATAATTCGATGATGAACACGAAAATAGATATTTTAATATTTATCGTTAATCATAATTTATCAACAAAAAAGGCGACATCACCATAATATATAACACTATGCTGCGAGACTAGTCCTCATGAACGGTGGTAAAAACCACTTGCTATTTTAATAGGTCGAATAAATTACCTACGCTATTAAAATGCTTTATTAAGTCAAAATATCTTCCATAAAACCGCTTCATAAACTTCTTCAAGGCTCCAGGTTGGAATGATCGAAAACACTGGGATAATTAATGAATAAGGTGAACAAATGATGACATGTCGCCAGTAACTGAATCAACATTTTAACATTTTTTAAGAGGATTTAATTATCACAACCATATCGTTTAGTTTATTTAAGATATATACAAAATGCCTGTTAATAGGTCAATTATCAATTATCAATTAGCTAATAGTACTTGTAGAAAGGTGCCTCACCATCTTATTTCCACTAAATACAATTTTACAAGATGATAAGTGGCGAAACATCTTAATGAAAGCCATAATTTCCGAGACTTTTACCAGTCATGAATTTATAAATTCTCAAATAATCGACTAAACAAATAGTGCATGCAAAATAACTGATTTGCAGTTGTCATGTGCTCTAAATGCTTTTTCATTATGGCCAAGACTAGAGCAAACTTGGATTTGAATTGCGTCTATTTCCGAAGAACTTCTCCAACAAGATTCTAACATTGTAGATCCAAATATCCATGCATTAAAACCTATCACAACCGCCGATTAGATTACATTCCTCATAACGCATCACAAGAATTAATGAATATCTTACAAAACCATATGATGGATGAGCTCAAAAAAGAAGCCCAATCGTGATATGGAAAATCACAGGAGAGATCATCAACTGACCATTCGAAATATGGATTTAAAAGAACGGTGAAAGAAGCGGAAAAAGAACGATGCCACATAATTTCGAGGATAACGTCTAATTTGGAGTTGCGGAAACGACTCAATTTTATAGCCACTAAAGTCACCCAATTTTACAGTCACCAAATTAGGAATGGTGGGCGCCGTTCACACCGAAAACTATCAAATATTTAAAAAAATTTGGTGAAAAAATGAACCATTCAATGCCGAACTGATTCGTCGTTTTATTGGAAATAAAATCGTTCCAACTAAAGTTGCCCAAAGTAAAGGAGTTAAAAACATATACATCATTTGATAGATCGCATATAAACCAGCAATACATAATCCTGTCTGCAAAAATATACAGAAATTAATTGGTGAAAAGACAAGAAATCTGAAAAGAACCTTAGGACCTTTGGACTAACAAGAATTTTCAAGGATCCTTTAAAATATTACAAATATTTAAAAAAAAAATTTACCAAGATAAAAAGGACGGCATTTGCAAAAGCGAATCTCAGCGGTTTTCCTTCTTCGTCAGTATCAAACGTCAAATGTCGTATTAAATTTGCATGTGACATATTCGCTTGAGATGATAACCTATGACCTATATAAATAATCATAATCATCTAATTCATGCAAAAAGTTTATTCTAATCCATGCATGCATATCCAGAAAAGAAATTCATCGATACAATCCAAAATCTGCTAAATTTTCCTATAATCCTTGCAAGATACCTTCGGTTTTCCTCTAAATCGCCTGCTATCCTTTCTATTCCAAAAAATCCCTACCTATACTACGGATATTTCCTTAGAACAGAAGTATAGCATTCATTAGTCTCCTTTTATGCCACTCCTTGTTTCCTATTCCTTCCGTATAAATAAATCTATTATTACTCTACTATATTTTATTGACAATATAAATGGATATAATCTTAATTGAAAAGTTTTTCTTTCTTAAAATTTTGTAATCCTCGGTACCACCAGAATCTATTACCTTAAAATCCTTACACCATGCAAACTCACCGAATCCAGTCATGGAACTATAAAGATTTTCTTTAAAACTAAATTCATCAACATTAAATTCTAAAAAAATATCTGCAAAATCTTCGACTATTATTTTTTAAATGCCTTCTTATTCCCTTAAAATCTATCACATTTCAAATATTTTTTTAATAATTCCAAAATCCCCAATGATTCTTTCGTTATAATTATCATTTTATTAATTATCATTTATCAATTATCATTTTAGAAAAGATATCATCCTTTCCTCCTAACCCAAACCAAATTTAATACCAACTAGTCCTATTTGGTTTTTCAAAAATCTATTTGGTGAAAACTCGCACAGCCACGATTATCGGTTATAAATTATAAAAAAGATTGAACCACGCTGATGGTACCAAAATTTTCAAAAACCCGAAGTGGAAAAAATGCCGTAAAATTGAAATCAATTTGCGGAGGTTAATGAAACCATTAAAACATTAAAAAGCTAATGGTACTCTCCACATGTACGCGAGGAATTGACAGACCAAGAAATGAAGAAGAGATAGAAAAAAAAAACTCATCAAATTCACACGATGAAACGACAGACGATCAAACGACTGGGATCCTAGGCTAGCAGACAATATCGAATCAATCGTCGAACGAAATACGTGTGAATTGTTTGTATCGCAGATGTTTTCGTGGTATCTAAATTTGCGCAAAGTCACACGGACGTGATATTGTGCAACAATTCCTAATAACAAAAGGATTTTATAATAATAATGTTTAAACCAACAGAGCTAGTCTATTGTTCACGTGGCAGGGAGGGTGTACGGCGGTGATAGGGGGTAGGGGATTAGATGAAGTTGTGAAGGACCGGGGGATTGTCGAGAGGATATAATTAGGTTTGGGGATATAAAAATTGGGGAAAAATGGATTACTGAAATGATATGGCAAGAATATTAAGGAAATTAAGCAAAGTTTCTGGTATATTATTTACGGAGAAATTTTTAATAGAAATAGTGAATTTTTTTCTTCTTCAAACACCATTACTGGTTAAGCTGGTTCCAGCGGCTACAATAGTAAGACGCTTCCAAGCAGCGCGGTCTGATATCATCGTCCACAGTAATAGAAGCCATTCCTTTTTCCATCGTCTAAGTCCATATACTGCTGGTTCACCTACACGTTCAAAATCTTTTCTCACCGTATCAGTCCAGGTCTTGATTGGCCCACCTCGCTTTTGACGCCAACCGTCACACGGTTTAGCAAATAACGAAATATGCGTCAACACCTGTGGTGGACGACGGAGAACGTGACCACCGAATGCGATGCTCTATAATAATATTATTAATGCAAGTGGTAATTGAATGAAAATGGATGCGATCGTTTGATATCCACTCGACGGAACCGTAAAATGTACCTTAGACAAAAGTGATCAAAGGTAGATAACATGATATCTTCCACTCTCACTGGCAGAGCCATATAGCAAGATCGGATGAATCACGGCTATATAGATGCGGACTTTCGTTTTATGGTGATTTCACGATGACTCCATAAAGGTTTTGTCAACCGGAAGAACGCACTTCTAGTTGCCGTGATCCAGGCTTTGCCTGGTCATTTGGTAATCAAGCGGACCCAAGGTTTAAAATCGGGCACTTCCTCAGCAGATTATAAATTTACAAAAAGTGGCATTTTATCAGTTTCTTGTACATAAGACGAAAAGATTTTCTTTTTATTTACATTGATTTTAAGTCAAATTCTCGCTGCAGTTGCTGACACGTTATTTATTTAGCATTATTTTCCTCTTCGTCAAAACTACATCATCAGCGTATTCAAGATCTATGTAATACGATACTTGAGATGATTTAGATGATGATGCTGATTTGGATACATTTTGAGTGCCGACAAGCGATATCCTTTATGCAGTCTATCGCATAATTGAATATTGTATAGTTGAAGAATATAGTTGAATACAATATTGAATATTGAATATTGTTGAAAAATATTGAAAGAACACAACCTTGACAGACACCAGTTTTTATTTCGAAGGATTCTATCAGTTCCCCATATACACAAATGCTCATAAAATACTTTTATGAATCGAATGATGTTCTGTGGAACACCGTCGCGTTCTATTACGCTCCAAAGCGCCGCTTTATCAATTGAATCAAAGGCAGCTGATGAAATAAATCGATGAAGATCAAGTCGATGAAATATTTGACAATGGGTTGCAAATATCAGAAGCAATGTTCCAACACCCTTCTTAACGTGAATATCTGGACAGCACAAGTGCGCCCCGATCTGAATCCAGCTTAAAGCGCATCCTGCCGTCCCATACGCGTAATTTTGTTAAATAAAATGGAAGTAAAAATCTGAGACATCTAGTAGGCTGATTTCGGTTATTTCTTAAAATCAGTGATATTAACTGCAATGATTAGAAGAACTAATTGTTTGAATTAGGCTTTACTGCTATTGCCTAGGACATAAAAAAAATCTCATCCCAAGATTTTCCCAAAATCTTCGATTATTGCACAGTATGTCATATCACCTTTCTTGAGAATTGGGAGCAGAATTGCTTTGCTCCAGTCATCTGGATTTTTTCAATAGTGAATTTTAGAAAAGAATTTTAGCCTCACTGCTGTAAGCCTTGGTTTCACCATCTAAGCATTGAGCATGTTACTATATTTCTATCCAGAGACACAATAATAGCCATAGATTTTTTTAGGAGTCCTTGCCATTACTGGTTAAATTCGCTTCACTGGCTTGTCACATTTGGTAATAATTTGATAAAGGAGTCCCTTGGCAATAGAAATACCGCTGAATCACCAGCAACACCCGGATTTTTGTATAGGTTTACTCCTGCGGGGGTCGAACCTCAGCATCGACGCTCCCAGTTGAGCAACAACCCATTGAGTCATTCTATCATCGAAAATTAGTGAAAAGGTAAATCTCTGCATACTGCATTAGTATTTCAAAGCTTATAGTATGATCATTTTTGCTTCCTTTCTGCTTAATAGATTAATGTCAGTATGAGCCAGCAAGATACAGGATACATACCAAGCTGAATTTATATCGTGGCGCGGTTTTGCTGACCAGATTTTCACGCTAAGAAGAGAACACCGTTTTAAAACTCAGCAACCCACCATCACATGTTTCATCGATTTTGCAGCTTCCTTTCAATTAGCACATTCTTCATTGTTTAACACACATATTTTATTACTTGCTAAACCCTTGTAGACGATGAGGAAGGCAATAGCTTCTATTACTGTCGACCATGGCATCGGATTGAATAGCTTGGAACTTGGAGTCATCTTACTCATGTAGCCACCGGAGCCAGTGATGGTGAAAGCTTTTAAAGGAAAAAGAACATTTTCATAATATCTCGAAATACTATGCATCTGCTAAATCCATAAAATTTTCTTCCCTTCAGCATCTTTCAATTTTGATTGTATAAGTTGAGAAAAATAATCAAAATATTTTATACTATTAAAAATATATTAAAAATTAAAAATTAAAAAGATTAAAAAAAATTAAAGATTAAAAAAATTAAAAAAATTATAAAAATTTTTTATCCAAAAAAGATTTACACGATTCGTTACGAAATTAGTTTAGATTTCTAACATTAAAATAAATTTAAAAATTTAATTTAAAAATTCAAAAATTTGAAAATTTGAAAAACGAATCGATTAAATGAATATTTTTTTTCTCGTACATTTTATTTTACAAAGAACATCATTTTTCACTATTACATTTTCAAGTTGATAAATTCCATTCGAACCACACGGTTTCTTTATTAGCGAACAATAGGATGCAGATGCCTCTAATTTACACGGACCTTCGCCGCTTTTTTTATATCCTTTTTTGCAAACACAATTTACTTTACAACCATCGTTGTTAAAAAAATTATAAATTGACTTAACAAAAGGAATATGGCAAAATGACGAAATTTCGTTGTATTCCATATTTTCACCGCATTCAGCATTATCCGACAAAGTTCCATTGGCGAAATTCTCATTCGAAGGCTCATATGACGACATTGCTGAATCGGTTGTCGAAATTGCTTGAACACATGAATTATTATTTTCATTGAAAATATATCCATCTCGACAAACACAACGATATTCGCATGCAATTAGTTTACACTGCGTTGAATTCGTGCAGGATTGGCAGATTGCATACGTCCGATGAATCGCATGTTCTCTACAGGATTCTTCTCTTCTATAACAGTTCAAACCTTGAAAATTTACCTGAAATTTTTTTCTCAGCCAAGTATCGTCTCAGAAATGTAAACAGTTGATAATTAGAAAAATTTTTTAGCGAGCATTTTGGCATATTTTTATTGGGATAAGTTAAAACTTCTCTTCCCTGTAAGCATTTTCGTTCTTAAATTCACATTTTTTTGAAGTACATATCGGAAATGCTTGGGAATGGTACTTTAAGTTCCATTCTCCAAAAAAATGGACGCCACTTGCATTTAATTGTCATTCAATTTCCATCTACCATATTTCATTTAACTTTTGCGGTTATTTATTTAAAAGGATAATAAAAAGAACGAACCAGAAAAAGTATGATTTGTAATATTATCGCTAAATTTAAGTGATACATACTTGAATAATACCAATAGTTGTTGAAAGTGAAAATAATGGCCAAATGAGAAAATAATATCCATCTGATAATTTATAATAGTAGTATAGTGGAGGCGGATTGAATTTTTCTGATTCGAATAGAATTATCATAATCATGAAAATCCTTATCAAAGTGACGAATTTTATCAATACGATTCTATCCCCTTCGATTTCGATTTTACAAATATCTCCTCATTATTAAAACATAAAAATCCGTATGCTTCATGAAAAATATAATTTAAAATTTTAAGAAAAATTCTTGTAATGATAATGATATTGATAATGACAAAATTCCTGTTTCAGATATATGAATATATCTGATTTATTTTCCGAAAATGCGCACCATTTGACAGATTGGCGTTGGCTATTAGAATAAAATATTTTGTATGATCACTGGAAAGACTAGCATGGACTATCGCTAGCTAATTGGCAAATTTCGAGTTAACTTTAAATGAAAGGTTTACTTCGTTCAGTGGATAAGAATTAAATTCTTACCTACATTTACTTCATTTGATCGAATATTTGTTTCATATGTGATAAAGTAGTATCAAGAACAATTGATAAAATTGATAATAGACTGTTGATGAAGTGCTGGACTTTAAATACCTTGCTATTCACTCTAATTCCAAATAGCCAGGCAAAAAAAATTGATAAAATTGATAATAGACTTCTTATTTTTATCATTTATCATTTATTTGTTTACAGTTCTCATTTTCTCATTTGTGAACATAAATAAAATTTCAGCTATTCTAAAATTTTATCCAGTTAATTAATTTTTATTTGCAAAATAAAAAAAATTAACAGCGAATTATTGAAATTTATTTTATTCGCTAAATCCGTTTTATTTAATGAAATTTATATTTTTTATATTCAAATTTGGTTGAAAATTATCGATAAAATTTTCATCGAAGTAATTCTTTTACTACCGATTACTACCGATTATTATCGATTATCACTGATAAGTATTGACGAGTGCAAAAAATTCAGCTTCCACATTTTCTTTACATATATAACTGCTGTTGATTAATGAAAAATGAAAGATGGTTCCATGAAATACGTTTATGTCCCGCAGAGATTCTACAAAAATGCCAGAAAATATCGTTGGCCACTGATGGTCCATAGAGGACAATAAGATGCAAGATCAAAGGAGGTCACCATCAAATCAGATTTATTCTTTCTTGATAAATCAATTATTGTTCACTAATTAGTCCACTTCCGCCCTTCAATTTGCCGTAGAATATATGGGTAAATCAATAAATGATCGTAAAAAAGCTCCACAAAAACATAAACCACGCTTGATCATCCGCCTGCTCTTGCATCAGTTCTCAATATTCATAAAATTGAAATATAGTTCCGTACTTTTAGAGTAGGAAAATTGCCCTACAGAGCAATTTCATTCACCGTACAAGTGAATGATTTCATTCGATACCAATTTTTGCTTTTCTATTAAATATTTAAGGGATAGAATGGCTCAGTGGGTTGTTGCTCAATTGGGAGCATCGATGCTGAGGTTCGATTCTCTGCATTAATAAACCTTCATAAAAACCCGGGTGAGGCTAGCGACTCACCTGTATTTCTATCGCCAAGGGATTCCCTGCCACAATGCCCAATTGCGATAAGCCAGTGGAGCGAGTTTAACCAGTAATGATGAGAAATCTTAAAAAAAAAAGTTCCATAAAGTTCCGTACTTATAGAGCAAAAATATTGCCCTAATGAGAACCGTACAAATAATGGTTTCATTTAATACACCATTTTTCCATTTTTATTTTTTTATTAAATATTTCAATATTTATTAAATATTTGTTTTGCAGAAATTAAATTTATAGAAATTAACCAAGATTTATTGCCTTGAGGATAGAATAATAAAAATTAAATCCTTCAGACTAAAATAACAAATTAAATTTATTTTCCATTTTATAGAAAAAAAATTTTTTTCTTGAATTTCTATTAGCTTTTCATTTTATTTATTTATTTAAATGTTTTAATTACTTACTTTCGTAATTTTTAAATTATATTTAAATTTTTAAATTCGTAATTTTTTCATTTCAAATCGCTTATTTATTAATAGTTTATTAAATAATAAATTAAATAATTTTATTAATGAAATAGTGGTTTTCTCATTTTGCTTGGAAATTTTTTGTCGAATTTGTTATGGCCTGTTGAGGAGCATATTTACGTGCCTACCAGATGTGAGATTCCATCCATTCCGTAACGAGAATAACCAACCCACTGAATAATTTTAATCCTACATAAAATTATTATAAATATAAATATATAAAAGGTGTTCTAATGAAAACTTTTTCTTACAAAATTATTCAATTATTCAATTATTCAATTTTTTAAGACGAAATAAAACATTAATAATTTCGCCAAATACATAAAATAAATAAAATAATAGTTATAAATAAACGTTAAAATTTATTAAAATTTATATTATTAAAGTTTATAATTAAAGTGGGTGGCTTTGCTATCATTCTTCTTCTTCTTCTAAAAATCCCCACTATTTGTGGGTCCACTGAACACAAAGATTAGAGATTTCGAAGCTGTGCGATAATTAGTAGAAGCCATTGTTTTCAGCAAACTGTGCCTTTTATACTGTAAAGATTTTTTTTTTAAATATAAAATACTATAATGATGAAAAATTATGATTTTTATGGATACAAATTTATTCTGCTTTATTGGATTTCAGATTTACGCATATCGATTATTGTTTAATAAGCAAACATATAATGAGAGTTTCCTATAAACTTCCCGCGAAAGGTAAAATATTACGATAGTCCGTAACTGATAGGGGCTAAATGGCTCAATGGTTTTTGCACAGTTGGGAGCGCCGATACTGAGGTTCGATTCCCCGAAGAAATAACAAAAATCCGAGTGATGCTGGCGACTCACCTGTATTCCTATTACCAAAAGACTCTCTGGCATATTGCTCAATGGGATAAGCCAGTGGAAACGAGTTTAACCATTAATGATGAGGACTCTTAAAAAAAAAAAAACTTATAAGATTTTTTAACGATAATAAATAATACTCATTTCTCCTTTATTTTGGGATGAAATGCAACAAAATAAAATTTTTTTATTTTTTTTTAAATTATAGTTATTTGCCTAAAATAATTTTATGAAAAATACATTGAAATTGCCAATTTCCTTTACTTCATGTGCTCATCAACGTGAAATGATTGTTGTTGTTTTGTTTATTCATAATTGCAATTTGAAATAGAGTAGTTTTAAAATTTTAATTTTAAATTTGTATCTAAAAATATCAAAAAAATTGCTAGTCAAATTGCAAAATTTGCAAGGAAAATGCAATAATAATATTTATTAATAATAATATCTGTTTTATAAAGAATGAAAATTTGAAATCAACATGATCATAATTATCAGAGAATTATCAAAATTTATTTAAATTAGGTAATTTAAATTGAATTTTGATGATTAAATTGTAAAATTGCGATGTAGTTGGAAAATTCTGTAAATTAAATCTGATTTAAAAGAACTGATAAGAATTCATTTGTATTCGCATTTTTCGCTTATTTCGGTTTCTTTACATTTTTTATACCATTTTTCTATTGTTTCGAGGTTCTCGCTTCTCTCTTATCACTTCCTTCTTTCTCACCTATAAGAAAGTGCTTTTATATTGCTTAATGAATATATTTTGTATATTTAAAAATGAATGTTAAACTTACACCACCGCGGTAATAATCAGGTTTTCCTAAAATTTTTCTGCCAGGCACCGATTCAATGGTTCCGATAAGTCCGATTATTAGAATTATCACTAATAGCTTGTTCATTGTCGTTCTAAAAAAATGCATATTATTTTAAAATTATTTTCATTAAAAATTGTAAATGGTTGTAAAATTATGTTACTATCCTATGATTGATGCCGGGAGAGAGAGAGAGAGAGAGAGAGAGAGGGAGAGAGGGGGAGTATTTATAAATGATTGCCCAGTACTATCTGGGTTTCATGATGATAGAATAATTCCTGCCAAAAGGAAAGAATCTGAATTTGCTTTCAGAAACAATATAATGCATATGTACCGCTAAACTACCTGCTACGATGGCCTTAGTTAATCTCATTGAAACTGATAAAATTTAGCTTCTCAAATACTAATGAATAAGAAAAGGAACCACTCAGTAGAATTAAAAATGGTTAAATTGAAGCCAATCAGAATTCCGTCCTTAAATAGTGTTTTTTCCTATTTTCACCAAGCAAAATGTTTATCAAAATTTATGTTGTTTGCTGATAATGTTTTGATAATATCGACAAAATTTCTATTACTTTGCAAATTCTCATTTAAGTAATTAATAAATAATTAATAAAAGCAATAATTACAGAAAAATTTATTGAATAATTATCCAAAAAGATTTTTAAATTTTTAAATTATAATAAAAAAAAGATAATTGAATAATTTAATAATAATTGAACATATTTTTTGCATTACAACAAGAGATTGCAAGTTTTATTGCAAAAATATTTCCAGCAAATTGTGCATTCAGTAATTTTATACGGGAAATAAAACACATTAAAATATATGAATTTGTGAATATAAAATAATTAAGAATAGAGAAATCTAATCAGATTTATCTTCGAATTGCAAAAATCCAAATTGAAAAAGAAAATTCTATTAAAAAATTGTTTTTCCAGTTTTTTTGTCAATTTTATAAATTTTATCAATTTTAAAAATTCTAATTTTTAATAACATTGCTATTAAATTTTGTATTAAAACTTTATTTCTGTCGTTGAGAAAATATTTTGACAGTATAGATTTAAGTAAATATTTTCATAATTCGCAGTTAATTTCTGATTTTGAATTAATGATAAACAAATATTTCGTACTTCTCTAAATACTATAGTGATAAGCAAAACGATGCAAATGCAATGCATTTAAAGGTTCATAGATTTATGAATATTCTCAAAATCAAGCCAATTGATTTTAATTTCTTTATATTAAATAAAATATTTAGTAAATTTACGAATGAATTTAATAAATTTCTAGCATTTTCCAGTTAAATAATTCATCAGTACAGCTTGGCTATCTATCACGTCAATTGTTTTAGCCTGAATGGCCTATGAAATTGTCACAAAGAAAAGCTAAGCGACTTATAACAATTTTAAAAAATTGAAACCGTAATGATTGTTTTGTTATGAAAAAAGTGGCTGTTTTCTTTATATTTTTCTTTTATCTCCACTTTATTTATTTATTTTTTATTTCGTTGTAGAACATCGCTTTTTTGCTTGCGTTAAGGAAATCACTTTGAAACTTCGTCATTACTAAACATTTTATCAATTTATTTATTGATAAGAAAATATTTTGGTAGCTATGATTATAGCAAATATTTTTTGCTGTAATTCTGGATTGAGAATTTGTGTTTTTCTGCAATGATAAACGATAAATATTGCTTATTTATCTGAATACCATAGTGATAAGCAAAACGAAACAAATGCAATAAATTTAAGGATTTATGGACTTTTGGATGTATTTGAAATCAATTTCTTTAAATAATTTAAATTTAACGAATTTTAGCTTATCAGTGGATGAATCGAATGAATCTCCAACATCCGACAGTTAAAAAATCCAGTCGAGCAACTAACCGAGCAAGTGTTGCTTGACCGACATGTATTTCAAGCATTCTAATTTTCATTCCATGCATTAAATATATAGGAAAATGAATATTGCTGATGGCACAATTGTTTTTTAGGCCTATAGCAAGTCGGTTATTTTTATTACTTTTTCTAAAATCCCTAATCTTGATTTATTTCCAATAAAAATGAAATAGTGCTATATGTGGCAATTAAAAATAGTACTAATGTTGTAAAATTATATAATATTTGCCTATAATATTTCTTTATAAATGAATGATTTCCATAAATGATTTTCGATGAAACATTAGCTTCAGTTTAAGGAAATATTTAAGTATTTTCGAAGCGAGTAAATATTTTTTGCAAATCAAAATTAAGTAAATAGATTTTAGTAATTCCAGAACTGTGATAAGAAATAAATCCTTCTATTCCTAAGAAACCTGAGAAATAAATAATCCTTGAATTCGAGAGTTATGGTAAACAAATATTTCAGAATTCAATATGAAGCAAATATTTTTGTAGTTCTCTCAATATTTTTTTTTAAGCGAAATGGAAAATTTTTATTTTATGGAAAATATAAAAAGTTTCATACAAATGAAATCATTCGTTTTTGTTTTCAGCTTTAAGCTTATCAGATTTCCTGGAATATTCCATTCATTATATTTCAATTATTAAATAATATAACTTGAGTTTAGCGTGAATCTCTTCACAAATACTATGTTTTAACTGAAAATTAAGGAAAATTTTCCGGAAAATTTTCTAGTGTCGCGATTTTCTACTATTTCTAACGATTTTAATAAATAGTTTCATTTTACTACCTATTATGCTATAGATTTTTAACAAATAAATAAAGAAACGTGGACAATACTCCAAGATTATCCAAGCTTCGAAAAAAATCTTCTTACTTTACCGCTTTACAAGCTTATTTCAACCTTTTCAGTTGAAATTTCTTTCCAGCAATTACCGAGTCTTTAAAATTCTACAAGAAAAATGCATTTCAAGATTGTTGATAGATTCTATAGAAATCCATCACTTTTCGACTATTTTATTTTCAACGTTTCTCATATTAAGCGCTCCATTTATAAAACAGTGGTTTTCCCATTTAGTTCACTTGTGGTGCTAAAAAAATTCCTATTTATAAATAAAGTAATAAATTGATTATTCGAATATTAAATATTAAATAAAAATGAGTACTGTTCACGGAATGAGAAAATACTATCAAAGACTTGTGGGAGAGGGGGGGTGGGGGGGGGGGGAAGAGTTTTATTCGCGAATTTTATACGATGAAGTGCGTACGTTTGCAAAAAACATCTAAAAAGCGACGAATTAAAAAATCGAGTATATGTAAAACCTAATAATTTTGCAGAAAAATCCCTTCCTAGGTTATTTAAATATTTCCATATCCATTCATATTCATTTATGATCCTTAGGTAAAAAGGACCATTGTCTAATGTAGAGAGGAAAATATTCCTATATGATATTAAAGAACCATTATTCAATGTAGAGGGGAAAAAATTCCTATATGATATACGCGGCACAATTTTAATTATTAATTTTAATAATAATAATTCTTTTAATAATTTTTTAAAAATAATTAATAATAATTTTTTTAATTTAATTATTATTTTTAATAATATTTTTCTTTTCTTTCCCGAATTATTACTACTCATTTGTGTTTTTGCTAATGACTTAAAAAAACGAATAAAAACTAATCCAAATAAATTATACAATTTTGTTAATTTCTCAGAATCTTCGCCCAGTTCAATCGATGCTATAAAACAACTGTTAATATTTTAATATTGCTTATGACTTAAGGGCAAATATGAAAACGATTCAATTCATTTAGCTGAAGCTAATTGTAAAAATAAATTAAAAATTAAAAAAAATCGATCCCATTTTCTTCCTCATATTTTTTAGAAATACTTTTGGTTTAGAATTTTTTGGTTTTTTATTTTTACATTTAATTTATAATTTTACTATATATAAAATTAAAATCGTTTTAATCGTTGAGGAATTTTTTCTCGAGAATTGCAATAACAAATGTTTCGCTAGTTAAATTTCATATTCGAAAATAAAGAGTTTTATTTTATATTTCGAAAATTTTACTTTAGGTGGTAACGCTAGCGAGATTTGCAGACAACTTATGCCCTGCAACTTATTGTATAAATCCAATATTATCGCGAAATGCCCGAAATCTTGTCTTCATCTGGATGAGACTGGATTTCTTCATTTCAATAATTATAATAATTTTACCAGCAAATATAAAAAAATAAACAATGAATCTCGAAATCACTTTTCGTATGAATATCAATAAATATTTTATGTATTCTAATTCAAAATTCTGCAATTTGCATGGTAAAATAAATGAATAAATAAAAATAAATGCAAAAATTATTGAAATTTGGAGAATGCAACTAAATTTTCCAGCGAAAGATTTATTCATAAAGCAAGCGCATAGAAAAATGAGGGGAAAAGGAATATGTCTAAGTCGAATTCTAATTGATAACAATGATTGATAATTGATGATAATAATTGGTAATTGCAATTTGGACAATAATGAAGTGCATCTTTGCATGGATGCGCGAGAAATGGCTAACAAGCGGAATGAAAAACGAAAAAGCAGCTATCGCATGAATTTAAGTAAAACCTGAAAAACCGTCTTCTTCTAACAACTCTCACCATTGCTGGTTGGGTTGGCTCCAACGGCTACAAGGGTAAGACGCTTCCAAGCGGCACGGCCTGACGCCATCATCGATAGTAATGGAAGCCATTCCTTTTTCCATCGTCTAAGTCCATGTATTGCTGGTCCACCTATTATTTCCGAATTATTATCGTTCAAATTAAACAATTTAGCGCTACACCAAACTTTTATTTATTTAAAATCTATAGGTAGCTCGTTGCTTTACAACCTTATAAGAAGTATCGAAATAATTAGAAAAATCATTATAAACGAAACATGCAAAGAATCCACCTGGCATTCCGTGTTAAAATTCCTCGTACAGCTTGGCCGTATATGCTTTTTTGATGGCGCCACAAGGTGTATTACCCCGTCGATGCCAGGTTTTATTGAAATTCATTTGGCTTTTCGAGTTGTAAAATTTATATCAATTTTTAGCGCGTAAATTTCATTATCCATAAAAAATAAATACCTTTAAAATCGAATGAAGGAAATACAATAAAATATCAAATATTTCATTTTAGTATATATCGGAATTTGTCACAACAGCGGATTTTTGGAAGATGGATACTCTAACGCCACCCATTTGCGAACAAAACAACCCTTTGAACCCTTGTAAAATATCGTTTTTAATAATTCGGAATTGTTATAAATTTATTTTGTCGCAATTATTGAATGCTATATAATTATCATTACTATTATTGTTATTATTATAATTGTCACAATTATTGTTATTATCATTATTATCAATGTTATCATTATTATCACATAAATAACGTAAATATCATTATTAACAAATTTTTATTCATAATTTAGCTATTGAATGAATTTAAAATTAAAAAACCAAAATTTGAGCGAAGTGAATCTAGTACGATTCCTTTCCCCGTCGTAATTTATGATCTAAAGAAAGGATAAATAGTTTGTTGAGATTCGTTGAGTAAGTTTCTGTGCCACTTTTTTCTTTCCATCACTTTAATGATTTTCTTCTGATTTTTCTAATTTAAAAAATTTAAACATGTAAAAGGATTAGGCATTATACTTCATAAAATTGTCATAAGCTTGCTTTCGCTAATATGTCGCTTTTTATCCCACATCGTCGCTATTTTGTCGTTCCATTTAAGCGACATTCATTTGACAATGCTTCGATAATGCTTCGATTTATTCAATAATGGTGCTTTATTGTGCCATACGAGCACACCACACTATATTAATTAATCTCTAACTCAGCAATTATTTGTAAATTTTTTCATTTTTAATATACTTAGAAATACCACACAAGATGGATAATTATTTCTTCATTTAGTTGATGCCGATTGCAAAATAAATTTTTTACAATATAAAAAAAGAAAAATTATAATATCGAATTATTTTCTTTTTTTTATTAAGGAAATTAAATAAATGGAAGACGATTGCAAATTTTTTGTCGAAATTATAAAAATAATTCAAATCTTTTAATAAAATCTCACCAATCACCTAATTGTTTTATGAAACATTGGTGTATATTTAGAAACATTTTAATTTTGTCAAGAAAAATACAATGCAAATTCTTTTAAAAATATATTTTTTTATTAAAAAATATAAAATACAAATTAAAAATAAACAAATCAAAAAAATACTTTATAAAAATACTTTAAATTTGAAAAATTTAAAAATTTAATTTAAAATTTTGTTTGGTTTAAAAATAAATTTAATTGAAAAAAGCGAAATAAAAAAATCGAAAATATCAAAAAACAATTTGTGCAAAATTTTGGTATCGAAAAAAATTAATAATTATTGCGAATTAACTTAAATTTATTTTTCAGTTAAATTCTGAAAATTATAAAATTCATTCTTTTTTTCACATTTTAATCTACAAATAACATCTCCATTCTTTATTATTATTTTATCAAGTCGATAAACACTGCGCGCATCACACGGTTTATTTAATAGCGTACAGTAGGATACGGATGCTTCTAATTTACACGAATTTTCGACATCTTTTTTATATCCTTTTTTGCAAATACAAGTCAATTTACAACCATCACTTTTAAAAAAGGTATAAATTGACTTAATAAAGGGAATATGACAAAGTGATGAAATTTTATTGTGTTCCATATTTTCACCGCATTTAACTTTACCCGGCGAAGTCGCAGTGACGAAATTCTCATTCGAAGGCTCAAATGACGACATTGCTGAATCGGTTATCGAAATTACTTGAATGCATGAATTACTATTTTTATTGAAAATATATCCATCTCGACAAACACAACGATATTCGCATGCAATTAGTTTACACTGCGTTGAATTCATGCAGGATTGACAAATTTCATGCGCCCGATAAACCGCATTTTCTCCACAAGATCCTCGTGTTTGAGGTTCGTCACAACTAACACCTTGAATGTTCACCTGGAATTTTTTCGCAGTTGTATATTCTTTCATGGCTCTGAGCAACCTGGCAAGCAGAGAAAAGTTGATAAATAATAATAAAAATAAGACCATTGAGGACAATTGAAATGATTTTAGGACCACACAATGAATAAGGTAAAACTTTTCCCAGCCAAGCATTTGCTTCTTTTTGAACTATAAGTATATCTCAAATATCCCACAGGCGATATTATTCAAACGCTGGGCAAAAGCATATACTATAGAATCAATACTATAGAAACGTAAGAAATTGAATATGCCTAATTATTTGAGAGAAAATCACTTCATTTCACTGAAAATCCTTCACCACAGAAAAAGATTCGACTTCCAGGCCACATTCACCAATTTCCAGTTGCCATATCTTATTTATTTTTGTAGTTGTCAAAAAGATGGATAATTTAAAAAACGAACCAGAAAAAATAGAATCTGCGACACTATTGCTAAATTTAGGTAATACATAGTTGAACAGTAGTAATAACGAAAGCGATTGTAATGACCAACAAAAAAAATGATATTCATATGATAGTTTATAATAATAATATCGTGGAGGCGGATTGAATTTTTTGATTTTAATGGAATTATCATAATCCTGAAAATCCTTATCAAAATAATAAATTTTATCAGTTAAACATACAATTTTATCGATTTCGTTTGATTTAAAAAAAAAAGTATTTCTTCGTTATTGAAAAGTGAAAAATCGTTTATTTCATAAAAAATGAAATTTTAAAATTTAATATTTTTTGAAATTTTAAGAAAAAATTTTTTTATAATGATAATTTTATAATTTCTTTTTTATATTCGTGAATATTTCTGATTAATTTTCCAAAATTCCGCATTATTTTGCAGATTGGCTATTAGAATAAAGCATTCCGTGTGATCACTGCAGAGACCAGCATAGACTATCACTAGCAAATTGGCAAATCTCGGCTTCGCTTTTAATAAAAGGTTTACTTCATTCAGTGGATAAGAATTCATATTTACATTCCCTCGATCGCATTTGTTTTTTTTTTGTGATATGATAAATTTGTGATATTATGAAAAATTGATAATCAACAACAGATTATATTTAATCCTTTTATCTTTTAATACTTTCTTTACTTATTTCTTATTTGTGAAGATAAAATTTAAAATTTCAAATTTTTTAAAGTAAATTTTAATTTGTAAATTTTTATAATTCCAAAAATTTTTTGTTTTTTATATTTCCAGTTTATTTGTATAATTTTTAAATTATTTTGAAAGTGAATTATTTAAATTTATTTTATTCGCTAAATTTTTATTGTTTAATTGGAGAAATTATACAAAAAAACATTTTTTTATTCAAATTTATTTAATATTATTTATGAATATTCCATTCATTCTTTGATGGAATTATTAATTCAAATAAAATATGCTCGATATGTGAAAATTTTTTTTTAAATTTTATATATATAATTAATTTTTTTCTTTATCAAATTAAAATCCTTCATAAATCATAAAAATAAAATAAAAAAGGAAAATGCAAAACGCTGAATGAAAGTAAAAATATGCGAAGAACGATAGGCGATATTGCATTTTTTACCATCGGAAACAATCAGCGGTGGCAAAAATGAATTTATTTATAAAAATGGTACGAAGCACAAAAAAATAGAGACGAATAGAAATAGCGAAAAAAAATTATTTTACCAAAGTTATTTCAACATTTGTTCAAAAAAGATTGCTTAGCAGCATTTTCGACATTGCCACATCGACATTAAATTTATTGCCATCTTCTTCTTTTAGTGTAAAACATACACCACTATTCTCGATTTGGCTCGAGAAATAAACTAGCAAGTAAAATTTATCATTACTTTAGAAGCAAAAGATTACTTTTGGTCGTGAAAATGGAAAATGGTTTCAAGCTATCAGTTAGACCTGAAATCAACAAATTAACTCCAGACCAATTAAGGATCAATCAAATGAAGATGAGGTTGACAAGATGGTTTTTAGAGTGGGGAAACTATTTCTTTTTCCATCGTCTGAGTCCATATATCGCTGCCCCCCCCCTCCCCCCTCCCCCTATATGTTCAAAATCTTTCCTGGCTGTATTAGTCCAGGTCTTGATTGATTCATCTCGCTTTTGACGCCATCCATCACACTGGCCGTTTCGAGACAATCTCTTTTGATCAATTTCACATAGCAAATATTTTTTCCTTCTCTTTATCACCAAAATTTGCCGAGATAATTGGGTGCAAAAATTTAAAATTTAGATTTTAGAAGGCATTCATCCCGCACTTCGCCACGAATCTACCTGAAAACCATAACCTTGGATTTCAGTACCACAGCAAATGGTATAGTCCAGCAATGTGAATATTTTGCTAAAGCTATGGAACAATTCTGGAGTCTCTGGTATAGTGATATAATTAGAAAAAAATCAAGCGATAATATCGCTATTTCTCGCTCCACATTATTATACGCTTCTTAAGCTGAAAAGTTAGTAATAGTGGCAAAGATGAATGGTTACTTGGACGCATCAAATTCGAATTGATTTACTCGTTCGGAGTCTATATAAGTTACCTACGAAGCAAGTAATAAGATAACCAATTTTTGAAAAAATACCCACAGATCATAGAATTAAAGGTTCATCCGCACCATTCTCGACATCTAAAAGTGGCGAATTTATTTCTGAAGCACGGAAAATTTTTTCAAACCTCAGAAAACATAGGAAAGATTCAAGGGAATCGAATGCTCATCAAAACCAAATTTTGCTGATAACGAACATCGCGCACTTCGCCACAAATCTAGAAAAGTATCTTTACAGATCAGAGAAAATATCGTCTTTTGCAACATTAGATATATGGGGGTGGAATGGCTTAATGGGTTGCTCAATTCAGGGCCGATATTGAGATTCTACTCTTTATCAGAACGATGCTAGTGACTCACTGTATTAATCTGTCGCCAAGGGATTCCCTGGAATATTAATCTAGCACAAGCCAGTTCGAAGCAAGTTTAACCAGTAATGGTGAGGGCTTTAATTAAATATCAATCATATCAATCAACTGTGAGAGTGAATTTCCTCTAACATTTGATAACTGTATTTATATCATTAAAAAAAATTGTTTTCTTATTGTTGAGCTAAGCAAAGGACTCAAGTTCCAATATCATTTATTTGCTTTTTTTATTTTATTTTTATTGTCTTTTAATCTAATTTTTTTAAACGATTCCTGGTCATTACTGGTTGGTTAAACTCGCTCCACTGGCCGATCACATTGGTCAATATGCCAGAAAGTTCCATGGCGATAGAAATAGAGGTGAGTCGCCACCAAGAATTTTTGTACAGGTTTATTCCAGCGAGGAATCTTTTAATTTTAATTTGATTTAAATTTTAATCTTATCTTCTTTAGTTTATTTTAAATAATTTTTGTCGTCGAGCTCAATTTAATAATAAATATCGTTATTTAATATATTACTATCATATTATTAAAGGTAATATTATCATATATTATTATTATTATATTATTAAAGGTAATATTATTATATAATAATATAATATTATTAATTAATAATAATATTTATTAATAATATTTATTAATTTATCAATAATAATATTTATTTAATATTAATATTAATATTTAATTACCCAAGTCTGAGGGATTAAAATATAGTTTTAAGTTAATTTCAACAAAAAATATACAAATATTCTCATATATATAATATTCTTCATTATTTAAATAATAAAGCAATATTAATTTTCGTATTATGCCAAATCACAAATCTATTGAAACCTGCAATGTGCAACTTAAAAATTTGATTAGGACACGTTCTCCGTCGCCAACCACAGAAGTTGACGCACATTTCGTTACATGCTGAACTGTCTAATTGGTGGTGTCAAAAGCGAGGAGGGCCAATTAAGACATGGACTTTTACAATCAGAAAAGATTGATTTTGATATAAATGCCCAGCAATATATGGACTTAGACGATGAAAAAAGGAATGGCTTTTGGTTACTACAATTGACGACACCAGACCGAGGAGCCTGGAGATCTTACAATTGTAGCCAGCGGAGACAGCCTAACCATTAATAGTGCGATCAATTTGTTGCAGCTGCCGAAGAATACATTTTTCTATAGTGCGTACTATTTGGTTGGGGCCGATGCTGACGTCGATGTCAGTCGGCGCGTAAGGTCGTATGTTTTTCTTAATTCGGTGATATCTTATTATTATTTTATAGGTGAGTGGAGGTGAGAAAAGAGGGGGTGGGGGGGGGGGGTTGCTGATTTTTTGCATAAGTAGGAAATCCTAACCAATTGATTCTACAAAAATATTGTAAATTTCACTTGGTAAAAGGCAAATTTTATTCGAAATTCAAGCGCTTGTGGATTCACTTTTTGAGATGGCAACGTGGCGTTTGTGCCATCGTTCAACTTCGCCGTGCTTTTTTTTCCCATAACTCAGAAGTTATCTTAAAAATCCTTTCATATTTCTCATTTAGAATAGATTAAGGGACTTCCTCCGTCGTCCACCACAAGAATTGACGCATATTTCGTTATTTGCTAAACGGTGTAATGGTTGGCGTCAAAAGCGAGGTGGGCCAATCAAGACCTGGATTGACACAGTCAGGAAAGAGACACGTATAGGTGAACCAGCAGTTTATGGACTTAGATGATGGAAAAAGGAATAGTTTCTATTACTGTCGACGATGGTATCAGACCGCATCGCTTGGAAGCGTCTTTCCTTTGTAGCTGAGAACCAGCCTAACCAGTAATAATTAAAATTGTTAGAAGAAGAATTCATGTTGAAATTTCACTACACTTTAATACCATATTCCAGCAATAAATGATTATAGTTGTAGGTTTTTATATCACCCCACTTCCTTATGTTTTATTTCTGAGACTTTGAGTCATTCAGAAGCCTAAAGCCAAGGAAACTTCAGTCACAACCTGAAAAATCACAACGTTATAACTGTGGGTTTTGAGTGGCTTTGGAAAAAGTGGAGGAGGTTAAAAAGAATAATGAGCTTAGGATTCGAATTTCAAGGAATATATCATGATTTTGAACATGTTCTACATCGGTTTGATGAGAATAATAGCTGTGCTTTGAGAAATATTGGTGGGAGTAGGAGGAATATTTCGAAGGAGATTGGAGTGTAAGATCGGGCTTGAAAAATTATGTGAGGTTTGGTATAGGGTGATATGATGCTTTGAGAGTGGAGAGAATTGATAAGTATATCTTATTTTTACTTTGTTTTTTGTTTTAAAAACTAATATTATATAAATGAAGAAGAAATTCAGCGATGCTACTGCTCTAATGTTCTAACTGAGTTATCTGAGTGAACTGTGTCGAGCAGTATTTCAACTGGAACATCAACATCAGTTCGTTTTTTCGCTTGAATTTCGCTTGGAACACAACGTTCTGAATTTATTCGCCTGATACGAATCTACGATACTTATCAGGTTTATCACAACAATCTTTATTTTATTATTATTATTTAAATAATATCGAGTCATCCAATAAGATCCCACGATTTTATTTGGCTTCCATAATTCCTTTGGCTGGACTTATATTGCTTTGGTTACTATGATAGCAAAAGGAATAGAGCTCTTTTATCTACAAAATTTGACAAGAGATGACATGATTTTCGTCTTCTGCTAGTTTGAATTCAAGCTACGATATAAGGCAAAATATGCAAATGGATTTTGTCGAGAGCAGAATACCAGGATGATTCTTAAATACTAATCGTATTCCACAAATGCCCCACTGCAAGAGTGCTTTAGTTCTGTAAATGATCTAAAGGATCAATGAAGACTATTTATTCCCCGATGGGCATAGATTTAGGGCAAGAGTTTGGCGCTTTCATTGCTATGTTTAATAAGAAAAAGCTTGGCTAATTGGCAGTCCAATAATTGACTGTTGAACACACTTTGGAGCTGTGTTGTTCATTGCTAATACGGAAAAAAAAACGATCTTTTTTCTTCAACAGATTTTTACCTTTGACGAAAAGTGGATTTAGTACTGCAAAAAGAAGAAATCAGATCTTTGGCTGGATTAGGTTGGATTCCTTTTTCTTTGCCAAAAGCTCACTCGAAAATTGGTGTTCACTGTTTGTTGTTGCTATATTGATCTACTATAACTTCTTAAAATCTAACGTACCAGTTACCGATTCCAGCTGAATCTTTAGTAAAGAGCTGGAAATAATCCAGTAGAGGCCAAATAGTACAAGCAGCACTGAAGTTCTCCTTCATAGCTATCACCAGCGAGCTTTTTTCCACTGACTCGATTGCTTCCTCAAAGGGAAATGCATTCGAAAATAGGAGGAACTGTTTTCAAGCATTTCATTGGCAACTCGGATAAATTTTTATGCGATAAATGCACTTGGATAAAGTATATTGGTGCTTATTTTGATCAAAAATATTAGATTCCGACAGGATTATAATTTTTTGAAGTTGAACGACGTAAAACCATGAGAACTTTTTGGATGACTAAATAATTTACTGTACTAGTCTATTTGTGTTCGCAAAAAATTTGAATATATCTTTCAAAACCCGATTTATTTTATAAGAATTCTTCCTGTTGAATACATTAACTTACTCGTTTTCCCTTCCCTCCTCTCTCATCTTTTAATTTCACCTTAATATCTTATCCGATCTTTGTGGTTTTTTTAACCAACCCATCTTCTTAGAGACCATATCCTTTGTAATTTCTTTTGGAACCTCTTATAACCTCAACCTCAACTTCTCTCAAAACTTTATTTTTATTCTTTACTTTACGCTTCATTAGATTTCTCTATATTCTTTCATCCTGGACATTTGCTACGTCACCTCATATCCTGTTCTAAAACTTCTGCAAAACTTCTCAAGACACCATTTTAGTTCTTTTTTTTTCTTCAAAATTTCCATATCTCCATAACATTAGGATTTGCCGTAATCAAACAGAATTTAGGCCAGGACGTGGTTGTGCTGACCAGATTTTCACCTGAAAAGGGTACTGGAACATCGCTTCAAATATTGGTAACCTACAATTACGCGTTTCATCGACTTTGCTGATGCTTTTGATTCGATCAATAAGTGGACATTATGGCATTTAACAGTGTTTCAGAGAAGGTAATTAGACTTATTAATCAAAGTATTTTTTCGGGATAAATCGGCGGATTTATAGGCAATTGACGCAGTTTCAAATGGAAACTAATCTATGCCAAAGTTCTTCATCTACAGTTTCCAACCATACGATAAATTGGATGATAGGCATCTTTTGCCAGTCTTCAGTATTCATTTGAGTATCTCTTTTAATAGATGTATAGATGATATTGTTGTTGAAACTTACGAAGAGCCAAAGTAGATTGGATGCAGCGAAAAAATAATATTCAAATCGATGTAAATAGGACGAAATTTTTTTCACTTTATATATGTCAGGTGCAGTTTCCATAAATTCATCACCATCCAAGAAAAGTTAAAATTAAGTGTCTTCAATTCACTCTTTTATTTATTGACGAGGCGAAAGATGTGATCCCATCTCAAATAAATGCGTTTAAAAGTGCTTTCTTCCATTTGGCGATGCCAGTTTCCATCTACTTATCCGTCAAGCGGACTCAATTGCACACAGTTACATTCACACTGGCTTGATTACCACATGTATTAATATAATCATAAAGCTTGAGCTTCTCGAACTCATTCTTTGTTATCCATCGCAGAAATCTGCAAAAATTTATGAAAATTAGCGTCAAAAACGAAGGAGACCAATCACAACCTGGCCTGCTGAAAAAAAAACTACGTTTCATTTTTTTTATACGGTCATAATCCCCTTAGATGCTAAATTCACTTCTTTTATATCACAGTTCATTCAATTTAAGAACCGTTTTCATAGCTTACTTATGAAAATTCGGCCAGCATTGTGGGAAATTTCATTGACACTAAAAATCTCTTAATTATTCAATTATCGTTAATTATTCAATTCTACTTACGAATGAATTATTATTGTTCAGCGATCACTTTCCGAAGTAATTGCGACTTATTACTACTTTTCCGTCATTTTTTTCTTAAACTTTTTTTAACGTTTTAAACGTTTTAAAATTTGTTTATTGGGTTATATTTAAAAATTTTAGAATTCAAAAAAATCTATTGAGAAAAATGCGAATTCAATAAAAGGTATCGTTATCGGCATTCATCAACAATTTGTCGAAATTGTGCCCATTTCGAAAAATTCTGGCAAAAGTTTACCATCTGTCAGTTTCATAAATTTTCTTATGAAAATCATCATCAGAAAAAAAAAAGAATCATTAAAAGTTTTTAAAATTTAGATCACCTTGTCTGATCTACAGAATGTAAAACTTGGCGATTGGATTTGGCTTATTGGCTTAGATCAGAATAAATTTGTCTATGATAGGCATATTTCGGAAAATGAACGTCCTTTTATCACAAAAGTTGTCAAAAACTCTGTCATGGTGCGAATTTTTCATCGCTTTATTTCTCTTTTTTTTAGTGCCTTTCAAAGAAATTTTCATATCAAATATTAATATTGGTTATTTTAGTTGCTTACGAAATTATCGTTTCCTGGTCCATCAATGTCTGGTTATAAAAAGTGGGCAATGAGTCCTGTATTTGGTAAAGTAGCAGCAGTAGAGCATGAATACACCGAAAATGTGGAGTACGAAGGATTTATCACAAGGCATAGTTTTATTTAATCGTACTAATTCTTTTTGGTTCTGATATATTTTTTGTTATCTTTATTATATCTTTATTTTATCTTCTATATCTTTATCATATATCTTTATTTTTGTTCGTTTTTTTCTTTTTTGACTTAGGCTTAAGAGTTTTACTTGGTTGAAAGCATTATGCTAAGTATTATTTTTATTTAGTATTTTTTACATAGCATCTAAGTTTCCGATTCATTACAAATATACTTTATATAATCGAGCGTTCATGAATACATGATTTTTTTGGAATTGTCAATATCTATATAATAATTTACTTGTGGTAGCGTGCGCTTTTATTTGTATGTATAATGAATCTTAAATAATGAAATGTTGGCCAGTTGTAACGGCTAAGATTGATATTCCTAAGAATCTGTCATTTGCCATCTTTTAATTATATCCTATTAAGTGCTGCCTTTTTCGAAACACGTCTTTATGCACATTAATGCAATTCAGGTCCACATTTTCGAAAGCGTCATTCTCAATTTTTCAATAACACTATAGATAAAATGCGAAGACAGTAATGTGGTTTAATATTAAGGATTAAGGATAAGAATGCCAGCATAGAGCAGTAGTTATTGTGTTTCACTTGATTTCCTTTTTTTTTCAGAACTTCGCCCAGATTAAAGAATATTCTCAAATATGAATGGATGATAACGAAATATATTTTTCAACACCAAGAACATCAAAAATCTTCTGAATTGGTTTGCTATTTCTTTATTTTACCATCTTTTTTTCATTAATTCTTTATTTATACCATTTTAATTAGCAATTGTCTGTTAAAATTGAGATCTTAATGAAAATTCTATATGATAATAATTCTCATGGAATATATTTATAAAAAGAGATCGAATCTAAGCTCATTCAAAGAAGTGAATTGAAAATTTCAAATTACATCTTGTTAATAGAATTCTAAAATAATTTTATTTCAGAATGAGGCATCAGTGGTGATAAATAATTCAAAAAAAACAATCAAGAATGATATTACTTTGCCTCAGTCATTCGATACAAATAATTCTCATTATATAATGTATGATGAGATGGGATTTGGGGCGATGCGAGAACCTTATGTGAGCTAATTTTCACTAAATTTATCTAAATCTAAAATTCTTTAAATTAGAAATTCAGACAATTTTTTATGTTCAGTGTTTTTTCATTTTTTTTTCTATGTTTCTATGTTTTATTTTAGGGTGAACGTAATTTCGATGGATTGATCACAGTTATTTGTGGCGATCTTGTTTTAGTAACTCTAACAGGATATATTTCACGAATATATTCTACCAAGTAACAATTAATATTTTTTCATCAAAGTTATTCCGTCCTAATAGATTTCTGTTGCAAAAATCATTGTAATGCTTTTAAAAATGAGTGGACGGTACCATTGTTTTTTCTGCATTTCTTAAATATTTCTTTCTTAAATAGATAAAAATTTAGTTGCATAATATTTTTTATTTTATTTCATTTGTTTATCATTTGTTTATCATTTTATTTATTGGGTTTGCGGCTCATATAAAATCAGAACCTATATTATTTTTCATCTTCACCAGATATCTTTTTTGAATAAATAGTGATTTATCTTCCAATGATTAATCCATAGTGTTTTATTTTCATTTATCAGTATTTGCGTGCGTGCATTTTTTTTGTATCATTCGAAGATTTTTTATATTTTTTAAGATGTTTGGATTCATCCATTCCACTGAAGGTTGGAAATTGGGTAAATGTGAGAGGGGAGTTTTTCCCGGATATGTTCCGTGTTATTCTTCGTGATATTCCAAAACGAATAAAACCTGTACTTCCCACTCGATTATTCAATGGTTCAGCGATGGTTATTTTTATCGTTTCACTTTTATAGTTTTTATTTTTATAGTTCGCTTTTTGGACGGATAAGTATAATTGGAATTTCGATTGAAAAAATTTTAATTTTAATTCCAGATTTTGACTGCGATTAATGGTACAGAATATGATGGTGATACAATGGTAGGATATTCTGTGAAATTAGGGAAAATATTTGATGTGAATAAATTTCTTCAAGATGGTGATATTGGGAATAAAGTACTAGTGTGGTGTTATTTGAAATATTTGTCTGATGAGAATAGAGTTATATGGGCGATACGTTTTATTGAAAAAAGGTTTTATCCACTTGCGCAAAAGGTAAGCAATATTTTGGCCAACACTATCATCTTGCAAGTTTTCAATTATATTATTACTTTTACATTATTTTCTGTTAGAATTTTTTTCACCAGAGAATGATTGCATGGGGATCCTCAGCGTCAAAAAAATCTTGTTTTATCATCTATGAAATAATTTACCATTTTTTGTGATCTTTTTTATCAGTATTATCATAAAATTTTTCCTTTGTTCCAATTTCCTTTTGACGTTTCTTCTAAAAAAAGTCGCATCCTTTTTTTCTTCCCATCGTCCACCTACAATTTTTTTCAGTTAAATATTTTTGTTTTTAGATCCCATTTAATATACTTCAAGCCTTCTGTTTGATATGGTATATCATTCTGAGAGCCTGTTGTAATCTATTAATCACCTTCAGCCTCATAAAATTCTGCAATTGCGTAGTACTTGCCGAACTTAACTGAATTATTTTGCCATTTTTGATTGTTTTAGAATATTTTCAGATTCCAAATGACAAACCATGCAAAACGCAAGCAAAACCAAAAAAAATTTACTCGAAACTCAATTTTCCAACAAGAAGTAAGTCTTATTCTTTTTTCTCTCTCTTCATTGATATCGTGCACGAATTTTTATTAAACACTCTGGACATTCTAATAAGGTTAAAAAGTTATATATTGTAAAAATTTTCATTTTCTTATCACAGTGAGTCTGTAGTGGGTCTTAAGCTTTATAATGCAAATTTTTTCATTAAAAAAAAAAAAATTAGAAATCATATATTTCGTTAATAAATGAAAATTATTTTCTTAGTTAAGAAATTTCAATTGTAAAATTATATTGCAGAATAAATTACTAAATCATATTGAAAATAAAGGCAATTCAAATGTGAAGAATGAAAAGTTTTTACTGTTTTGTTTGAAGAAGAAAATGAGGAAAAAATTTTTTGCTATCCATTCTATTTTGTTCTTTTTGAATAATGATTCGCTGGAGAATCACGAAGATTTAAAATGAGCTAATTTAGTTTATATTTTTTCATATGACAGTTCGAAATGTTCTAATTTTCTTTTTAAAACTTCTCGCCATTACTCCTACTGGCTTATCGTTCTAGACAAATGTGCTGGGGAAATTCTTTGGCATTGGAAGTAGATAAGTCACCAGCTTCATCCAGATTTTTGGATGAATTTGCTTCTACGGGAACCTGAGCATCAGCGTTCCGAATTGAACAGCAATTGTTTTTCTTTGCCTCAGTTGTTTTTCTAGTTTTGTTGAGGCAAAAATTTATATGAGTGTTGCAAAGGAGATAATGCGAAATGGGTGTAGTAGGATAAGACAATATGAATGAAGAGTGCTATATATATATATATATATATATTAATGTCGTAAAAATAGATTAGTTATCGATTTAATATTAAATATTAAATATAAGAATATTTAACGTTTGTGAAGAATTATAATAAATAGATGTGAATAGGTCCAGCGAAATTTAGGTTAATGGAAATAGGATGAAACTTTTTCCACTTTGCATAAATGGAACTAGGATTTTTAAATATTAAATATTTTTAAATACTCTTATTTATTGAAATCTATATCAAAATTTTCGCCTTTATTTTCGCCACAGTGGGTAAATTTCTTTAATACGATTAAATAATTTTATAAAGTTAGATTGGAATAAATCTCGTAAAATTTTTCGTTGTTTGAAAACTGGAAGAAATTTATTGATCGCAGCGTACAAACAACTAATTTTAATTTTTCTAATTTTTCTAATTTCCTTAGTTTTTAGTGGAAAACAATCAGTCCTCGAAAACAATCAGTCCTCTATCAGTAACTGATAACTGAGGTGATAATTTTTTAATTTTATTCTCTCTCATTAGGTGAATCAAACAAATAGCTGAAAATGAATTCAAATGAAATGATTAGGTTAATAAATCAAGAAATTTATAAATCCTTAAGCGATAAGATTAAGAGCTCTAATTATATAACTTTATGATTCTTAGACGATAGATGTTCTTTAAATTTATATTTTTTACTTTTTTTATAAAGAAAAAATAATTAAATGTGATTTTAATTCATCATATTATCAGTTATCACTATATAATCGTCAGTTGCAGATATCAGTTTTTTGAAGAAATTGCTATATGATTCAAATTTTCGTATTAATTAACTTTTTTTTATTTTTTATAATTATTTATAGTTGTTTTCTTTTTTTTATTCAAATTTATCTCTCAAATTTTTTTTTCAATTGTTTCTCTATTTATTTTTATTTATAGGCTTGGGCTTAGTCTAATTCAGCCATTCCTTTTCATATTTTTATATTTCATCATCAGTTATCTAATCCATGGCAACACTCAACTTACCAATGAAAACTTATCGCAACAACATTCACTTATCAATGAAAAATTGGTGGAAATATTCGGAAAAAATTCTAAGAATCACATACGATTATAAGGCCTGCACCAATAAATTATTGGTGCAGTGGACTAGTCATACTCCGTCTTTGCCAAAGTGACATATCACTGTTTCTTTATTGAATGGATTAATCAAATATAAAAGTAACTGGTTGAGGTCAACAACTTCCTTTTCTTTCTCGAGTAAAGCAACTTGCGAAGATTAATCTCTTCTACCTTAAAAATAGGTCGTTTTTATTTAAAAAGAAAACGAAAAAACTACATATTTCCAGATCCGTAAAATGTATCTTAGACATGAATGGTCAAAGGCTGATAGCTTCTTAATATTTTCTCATTGGCTATGTTTCGCAATCATATAGCAAAATCGAGCTAATTGCCTCTATATGAACGCTGATGATTATCACTTGTACCTTTATCGCGAAGCTATTCCCTGGCATATTTGTTTAATGCGACAAGCCAGAGGAGCGAGTTCAACCAGTAATGAATGCTCTTAAAAAAAAAAGTTGTATTTACCCGTAATTTTCATGAGAACTGCTTCGAAGACTTATTGCAAAAATTGCTGTGGTCAAAAAAGAGCGGTAGACTCCAAACAGCAGTGTCGCTAAACGGCGAAAGCAAGGACTTCTACTATAGGGCCTGGATTTGAATTAGCAATTTGCCTTATTCATTATTGCTAAAGATAAAGGTCCAATTAATGAAGAATTGATTGGCTGATAAGGCAGTTTTAATCCTCCAAGAGTCTGAGCTTACTGGTTTGAATCATTAGGGAAATTTCAAATAAATAAATAAATAAGGATAAATAAATAAGACGGCATCAACAATAACGAATAAAGTTGAACCAGGTGCAATAAAAAAATAATGCTGAACTGATTCAACTAAGGAATAAAGATAAGATGGACGTTATCAAAAAAAAAAAAAAAATGAAAGGAGGATTGCTGATTATAAAATAGCTTTTGTCTTCCACGTTTGACGACGTTTGAACCTGTTGTTAGTGTTTGCCTTGCTAGTTGCCATTGGTAACTATTTGACTCTACCATAGCTTAAGGATAGGATTTATTTATCCTGTAAGACTCGTTCAGTCAAATCTATTTTGCTTTTGAAACACAAGCCAATAGATTTTAAATATATTGGCATAATGAAAGTAAATATTGGAATTCTGTCGAAATCACCATAAAATATTTGCATAATCGAGCAACATAGATTTGTTCGTATTGTATGCAGTCGATCGAATTTAGAGGAGAACAGTGGTACTCGGAAGATGTGAGCAATGAAGAGCAATGATGGAATTCTGAAGCAATTTTGACGTAAACATTGATCATCTGACTCGAGTATAAGGCCGAAAGGCTAATCGAATATCTAGCTGGTCTCTTCTATAAGTTTTCTCTCCCAGTGGTTTGCGTTGAAGGTTTTGGTTGAACTGGAGCCATTGTTGCTTGTAACAGTAGCAAATATTCAGACGAATTGTTTGAAGATTAAATTCCACAAAAAACAGTTGTTTGTGGATTAATTGATCCTAAAATGTCGGTTAATATCGTGTAAAAATGAACTACCTGGGAAACTGTTCAGTTGACGATAGGGATAATGAGAAAGATAATTTTAATGAAAAAATTTTTTATTATTCATCTCAGCGAAAGGAAACTAAGTTCATATTTTTATTCATATTCCTTTCTCATCTCATGGATAGAAATGTGGGACGTTGATTTTTAATATATTGCATGGTAATATAGATGAACTACGAAACATTGAACAGAGCTCAAGGCAAAGAGTTCTCTGATTAAAAAATGAACTATCTGGGAAATTGCTCATTTGACGATAGGGATATTATTTTCGTAAATCACCTACATATTTTCTCATGCGCTTTTCTTGTCCAATTAAAATTCTAAGGAGTATATTTAATTTCGTGCCGAATCATGCTTAGATATGCTCAAATCAAAGGTGAAATAAGGAAAGTCACAAAATTAGTTCCTTGAATTGAGTTGGGTGTGTTTTACATGAATTATATTGTAATTGAATCGAAGTGCAAAACTATTTCTATGTTTTTTCAATGTTTTGTCGTGCCGAGTGTTGTGGCTGCAGTCCTTCTTCTTTTTCTTCTTCTAATAACTCTCTCACCATTAATTGTTAGGCTGGCTCTACTGGCTACAAGGGTAAGACAATTTTCAAGCTATTCGATCCACATAATACCAAATATGTGGTTTAATAGTTAGGCAATTTGACTGTATCGAAATAGTCAGCTTAAAACCGGCGCTAATCTCTTTCTCGCCGGCTAATTTTATTTGTTGTGGATTGAAATGCTGGTGATGAATTCTCATTTTTTCTATGCATTATCTTTAAGGCTGAATTTACTCTAAGAATCCCAAATCTCCAATTTTTTTTTTTGCTAACTTTGTACCTTTTTTTTTCATAAAATCGTTATGCTGGAAAAAAAGTCCACATTCATGTTGTTCCAAGTGTCATATGTTTGGCCCTATTAGATCGCTGATTTCATATATGAATTATGAATTTCTCGTGTTTTTCTATCATTTTTTCATTATTTTCAATTTATTGCATAATTGGACTTACCCCTACATAGAGTAAGGAATTTTTATATCCTACGATATCCTCCTAATTCTTTCTCCTATCAATTGAACAGAGTGTTTTTCTTAGAATTGCGGCTGTTTTACTATTTATTTAGTCCAGCGATTGGCCTTAATACCTAGCTGTGGTATTAAACTGGTCTGTACTGAGGTCCATGTGGTGACTCTCGCGAGATGGATTGAAATCTAATTCAAAATATTTTATTTGAATGATCAAATGATTTTTAATGATTTTTTTATGCAGTTTATTATATTCATTCAGATATCTTGGATGAAAAAATTTAATAAATGTTTTTTATGTGGTTTTTAATCTATTTTAAAACTTGAAAATGTTACACCACTTGGATTTCCTTGGCATCTTCCGGAGGATCCATGAGGAAAGCCACTGAGAAGGTATTAGAATAGGTATTATCTCGTTGAATCATAAATTTTTTTTTATATTCTGACCATTACTCACCATTCAATCACCATTATTAGTTAAACTCTTTTTATTAGCTCGTATTATATTTGTTTTTTTTATTGTTGGTTTGTTTCGTTCCTCTGGTGATTATGGTAAGGAATTCCTGATCTAATATCATGACCTAAGTCTGAATGTCGTTGGATCGCCTATACATTTAAAATCTCTCTTGGTCGTATCGATCCAGGTTCTCGATCCTCAGCTTTTGACGCAGCGGTTTGACGTGAATTCTTGTGGAGTTACAACGAAGAATATAGCCAAACCATCGTAGACGACGAACCATATATTCTTATTCCTTAAGGCAGAGAGAAGATGGATACAACCATGTGGGACTTTATTTATTTTGTAAATTATGCAAACTAATTTAAAAAATAAAATTTGTCTCAAATCAAAATTGCTTAAACAAATTCCAAAATCAACAAAATGCATGAATATTTTCTTGTAGTTTTCAGGCTGTTTTCAGGCGGTTTTGTCGAATTTCCAGTTTTATATTATTTAATAAATACATTTTGTACATAACAGCTCGAATTTGAAATTTTCCACGATCGGGAAAATAATAAATTTAGCAATATTTTCTGGAATTATTTTTTTGTTTTTTTAGGAGTTTTCATTTTAGAAAATTTTTCTATAACTTTCGAATTTAATTATAAAAATTATTAATTATTAATAAATTATTGTCTTTTATAATTAAAATGAACTGAAAAAGTACGATAATGGTACCAAATTTGATTTTTTTACGAACCGTTTGTTAAAATATTCACGCATCGTTGCGGGATTTTTAATTCCATGATAGAAAAAATAATCATTTGAGCAAACATCATGATTTCTATAATCCATTTCTTGCACATGATGTAGATTTAAACCAGCTTTCTGAAACAATACACTGAGATAAGATTCTTTCCTCTCTTTCACTCATTTACTGGTTAGGCTGGCTTCGTTTGGTAAAAAAGATAAGAAGTTTTCAAGCTATGCGATCTTGATTCTGTAATTGTACTGTAATGTATCAATGCAAAATGATATAAGGTGGATGTGATCATGCGAAATTTTATCCAGTCGATGGACCCATAAGATGTCTTAAAAAATCTTGGGCAAGAGGCGCCAAAGGTAAATGGCTTTTTTATAACACAGCGAGACTGAGCGAGTTATAGCTATATGGATTGGAACTTTCGGTTTTATGGTGATGGTGACGACTCTATAAAGGTTTTGTTAACCAGGAGTATATTTTTTAAAACTAGAATCGAGAAAATATTTTTTTGCCGATCTTCTGGAATTAATATTAAAAATTTGGAAATCCACGAAACGTGCTAATTTGTTTGTAATTGTTTATATGTAAAATTTTATAATTTTAGGCTTTGGCTTGGGCTTGGTCTTACGTTTAGGCTCGGGCATAGGCTTAGGCTTAGGCCTAGATTTGGCCAAGATTCGAGAAAAACAAATGCGGAACCTCGGCAATCAATCCAGTTATCACATCAAAAATCCTGAATGAGGCTGCATAATCTATTCCAAATTCGGGCATTGTTCTTGATATTTTTTCAGCACTCTGAAATTTTCAAAAACATTTATAAAATAATAATTGCATATGGATCTTTGCATTTTTCGAATTACTTCTTATGAACACTTGAAATTTACTTCATTACTAGTCATGATGAAAATACCACTACAATAAATTGGTAAAAAAGGTTTTGGCCATTGTTTATATGAAACATAATATGGACTGGTACCATTCCTGTCTGGTATCGCATTGTAATGAACCTAAAAAATAGCATGTATATGGCAAAAATTTAAAACTTGCCATTAATATAGAGATAGTATTTGCTGGCATTTCTGAACTCTAATGCCAGAGTTTTATTCCTAGCAATAGATAATGCTGATTGATTCATTTGTACTTCTATACTTCTATCTATACTTATACTTCATCTGGCAAATGACCTGGCATAATTTGTGGAACGGCTTAGAGCCTAGTCTAAATATAAATTGCGAATCCTATTGGTATAAATTTGTTATTAACGAAAGGCCTATTTAAAAAATATAAATAAAAAATTAAAAAATTAAAAAAACGAGGGACAATGCAAACATTTATTTTTTACTAACATAGCACTGAAGATCATTTCTATGGATTTCATCGATGCTTTTCATGAACCTTAGAAAATTATTCGTTAAAATAAGTATATCGGAATCGAGCCAAGCTAAATATTCTATATGCGAACAAAAATAACCATGATAATCCATAATAGCCCAATATTTAAATATTAAATGATTCCATCTATAATTTGGAAATCAGAATAAAATAAATTTTAACTAAAAATTTAATTAAATAAAGAAATCAGAACTAAAAATCAGAACTAAATAAATAAATAATAAATAAATAAATAACTAAATAATAAATAAATAAAATAAATTTTTAAAAATAAAAAACGTATGCATTTTTAATAAAAAAAACATTTTGTTCTGCGTGAAATAATAACAATAATAATTAATAATTAATAACAATAATATTAATAATAATAATAATAATTAATAATAATAATAATTAATAATAATCATAATTAATAATAATAATTAATAATAATAATTAACAATAATAATAATTAATAATAATAATTAATAATAATAATAAATAATAATAATAATTAATGATAATAATAATTAATAATAATAATTAATAATAATAATAATAATTAATAATAATAATAATTAATAATAATAATAAATAATAATAATAAATAATAATAATAGTAATAATAATAATAATAATAATAAATGGTAATAATATAATAATAATTAATAATAATAAATAGTGGCAATAATATTAATAATAGTAATAATGATAGTAATAAAAAATAAAATAATAAGTGGTAATATTATAATAATATTATAATAACAATATAACAATTAATAATAATTAGTAATAATAATTGACAATAATATAATAACAAATAATGACAATGATAATAACAATAATAATAATGATAATGATAATAATGATAATAATAATAATAAAATTAAAATAATTCTTGTAAAAAATAATTTTAAAAAATCAATAAAAAATTTCAATTAATTATTTTGTTTTGTTATTTTGTTAAAAATTAGATACAATAAAAATGGTTTTAAATAGTATTTATAATAGATTAATTAAGTTTTGCATATACTATATTCAATATATTTGTATTTGCTAAATTTGTTGTAGATTAGTAATAGTGGGCCAGTCGATAAAGTAAATAATAATAAGATTTGAAACAATATATTTCTAAATTTTTACAATAAAATTACTTAAGAAAATAAACTGAAATCTACTGAGTGGAGTATAAAATCTGATTTTTCCATTCTGATAATTCATTAAAAAAAAATTTATTAAATAAATTTATTAAAATTTACAAATTTTAAGAATACCATTTAACAATACCATTATAAAACGCCGTTTTCGCTGCTCAGAGAATACTCCGTACTCTGCAGCAATTGATATATATTTCGTTATTTGCTAAACTGTGTGTGATGGTTGGCGTCAAAAGTGAGGTGGGCCAATCAAGAAGATTTAGACTGATAAAGTCAGGAAAATTTTTCAATGTATAGGTGGATTAGTAAAATATGGACTTGAACTATGAAAAAAGGAATAGCTTCTAGTGTTATCTGCAATAGCGTCGAATCGAACAGCTTACAGACATTTCACTCTCATAACCAGCGAAATCAACCTAACCGATAATAGTGAAAAGAATCTTAAATGCTTTTTATTTTAAATTAAATTTTCTTTGGTAAGTTTTATTGGTAAGTTTTATTTACTTACCTTACCTATTTATTTTCTTACTTATTTACCTGTCAATGAAATTAGCCATTAAAATATCTTTATAAATTTCATTTTCATTATAGGCATTTATTAAATCATTAGTAAAATTGTTGAATCGATTTGATAATTCTTCACGAGCGACAACAAATACTACCTTAAACGATTGATAAGATAAATTTTCGATGATAAATTTTCCATATGCATATTCTCTTTCAGTTATCTTTACAGTAATTAATTAATTTTAAATAATATTTTAATTTAACAAAAATTAAATTAATATTAATTTTAATCTTAATCAATTAATCAATTTATCAAAGAATTCTCGTTTTTTTTTTGTTTTTTAAAGAACATTTCACTAATTATGGTTTCCGTTATGGCTTGTGGAAGCCAAAAAAATTTTTGCCCAGAGAATCCGATAGAAATAGAAATTAGAGATAAGTCATGCTAGTAACACTTAGATTTTTGAAAGACCATTCACGCCGATTATAAATTATTTTTCAAAATTAGCTTTATAATTTTCTTATTAAATTATATTTTACAAAAAAAAAAAAATTCAATTTTAAAAATATTTTACGATAGTGAAAATTTTTTTCTACCTTTATTTGATAATTTTTTAATTCATTTGACCATGTTTCACGAATCGTTTTCCTCATCAATTCATCCTTTTTATTTAACGTTAACGGAATATAGAGAATAATTTTTGCCGAAATATTTTCTTAATAAATTTTTTAAATTATTTTAAATTAAATTTTAAATTAAATTTTTAAATTATTTATTTATGCAATTTCAAAAATTCAGTTTCAAAATACAATTTCAAAAATTTTTTTTAGAATTGAATTTATGATGATTTTTTAAAATTTTATGAATAGTGATATAGTGATATGAGATGAGTGTTATCAATGATAATCTAATTTATCATCTAGGAATCTATGAATCGGATAAGTTTTTTTTTTTTAAAATTTTTTTTCCCTTTTATTAAATCATCTCTAACTTATTTAACTTATTAACTTATTTTTTAAATTCATTTTGCTCAAATACCACCTGCATTAATAATGTTATCACTGAGCGAAGCCTTCGCTGGTTAGGACACGTTCTCCTTTTTTCCACCACAGGAGTTTTCATGCATATTTCTTCATTTGCTGAACAAATGATAGGGAGCGTGGTGGGCCAATCAAGACCTGGAGTGAAATTTTAAACGTGTAGGTAAACCAGCAGTATATGGACTTAGACGATGGAAAAAGGAATAGCTTCTACTATTAGCTACTATTACTACTAGCGATGGTGTCGGACTGGGCAGCTTGGAGCGTCTTATTCTTACTCTCGAGCGCAGCCAGCTTAACCAGCAATGGTGAGAGCTGTTAAAAAATGAATGACAATCTAATAGGTCGTCTTATGATGAATCGTCCTTTTTTTCTTCTTTTCTATATAGCACTCCTCATTTCAGAATGGATCGATCCCGTCGACTAAATAGAATAAAACCAAACCGCTTCTCTAGCAGAGTATTACATAGAGATAAAAGTATTACCCGAATTTTTAGTATTACCCGAATTTCGCTTCACTCTTAAGGTCAGATTTGTTTTGAGAATAAAAAACCAAATTTATCTTCTAGCCAAACCAAATAACAATGATTGCTAATTTATAGTAATTTTTCTATATTATCATTAACATTATCTATATTATCACTATATTATCACTTTATATTCTATATTATTATTATCATTATATAATTTTTCTATATTATCATTTTTTTTACAATCGCCTAAAAATTTAATAAATTTAATAAATATTTAATATTAATATTAAATATTTATTAAATATTTTGTCAACACAAATAAATTTTCGTTTCTTTTTTCTCATATTAAAGCTAAACATTAAAAGATTTTTCGAACTATCAATAGTTATTTCATAAATTTATTTATACCTTTGCAAACTTGTGGTTGTATTAAATATTGGAAATTTTTCGAATTTTTCGTCTGATTTATGATTCTAATTAGCGTAATTGAATTAGAATAAGTCTTGAATTCGTCTTTATTCATTTGAATAATTTCGTTTATTTGGTTCTTTGAACTTGAAATTTTTAAATTAAATTAAAATTTATATTTTATTTTAAATTTTTATTTTTAAATAACAAATAAAATATCACTCTATATTATTATCATTATATAATTTATCATTATATATTATTATCATTGTTATCATTATATAATTATTAATTATTATAATTAAATAAAATAAATGAAAATAAATAAATAAAATGACAAAATGGCGAAGAAATTTGCCTATAAATTAGCCAAGTAAATAGAGATTTTTTTTTTATACTATAAAAAATATAAGAAAACCATAAAACGATATTATTTGGCTAGGGTGTTGATCGGAGTTCTCTCGTAAAGGATCGTTTTACGATCCTCCTCCTTCATCGAATTCAAATACGAGAAATGATGGCTTGAAAATTTAGGAACTAATTTAAAAGTTCGAGGATCATCATCCATACTTTTTTTTTTAACTATACTGCTAAAATTATTTTTGCACCAATTGGTAACAAATTTTAAACATAAATTGAATAGAATTAATAATATTCGTAATAATCTTTATTACAGTTGAATTATCTTTTAAATAACTGCAAAATTATAAAATTTATAAAAATAAATAAAATAGTATTTTATATTTTAAATTCATACCTAAAATTATGGTGAAAAATATAAATAAATACCATTAGAAATAATAGAAATACAATCGAATAGGCATATTTTATTATACACTTTTCATACATTCGCCTAAAAATTTAATAAATAATTAATAAATAATTAATAAATAATCTAAAATAAGGAAAGCAAAAAAAAACTTAGCTTAATCTAGTAATTTAACTAAATACCTTGGGTCCACTCTATTATCAAATGGCCAGGCAAAAGACGATATTCAGCCAGTATCACAGCAGCTAGAAATGCGTTCTTCAAGTTGAAGAAACCTTTATGGAGTCGTCGTGAAATCACCATAAAACGAAAGACCGCATCTATATAGCCGTGATTCGTTCGATCTTGCTATATGGCTCTAAGACATGGCCAATGAGAGTGGAGGATATCAAGTTATCTACCTTTGACCACTCTTGTCTAAGGTACATTTTACAGGCTCGCTGAGTGGATAAAATCTCGCATCCATCTTCGTTTAAATACCACTTGCATTTACAGTACCATCATAAGGGATCGCCTTCTTTGTTCGGACATTCTCTGTCGTCCACCACAGGATTTGATGCATATTTCGTTATTTGCTAAGCCCTAATGGGTGACGCAAAAAGCAAAATGGGCCAATCAAGACCTAGATGATACAGTCGGAGAAAGTTTTGTACATATAGTTGGACAGCGATATATGAATTTACACAGTGGAGAAAGGAATGGCTTCTATTAATGTCGGATCGAATAGCTTGTAGCTTGGAGTCATCTTACTCTTGTAGCCATCGGAGTCAGCAGTCCAACCAGTGATAGTGAGAGCTGTTAGAAGAAGAAGAAGAAGGCTAATTTAATTATTAAATAATCAAGTCAATAAAATTATTTAATATTTAAACAAAGAAATATTATTTAATATTTAAATAATAATAATGAAAATTTAAACAAAATTTAATATTTAAAATTTAATTTTAAAAATTTAAAATTTAAAATTTTATTTAAATATTTAAAATTTAATCGCAAAGAAGTCTCATGAAAACCAAAATCAACAATAATCAAATCAAATTCACCAGCCATTTAAAATAGAAAATAGTAGAAAACTAAAAAAAAATTCATCAAAATACCAAAGTTTTTTTTTCGTTTAAGTTTAAATCAAAAAATTTTTTATTCTATATTTGTAAAAATGCAAGCTGCAAAGAAATAAGAAAACAGCTTTATTATTATTCTCTCAAGAAATAATCCTCAGGGGATTTTAGCGAGCATAAAATGAAAAGTACAAATCCCAATTGATATCTATTTTTCCAGAAAAAGCCGTTGAATAAAAAATCGCTTCACTATTACTTGACCAAACCTAGTTTCCTATATCTCTGGTGGAAGAATTCGAGATTGAGATTGATAACTCATATCGACCACAGCAAATGAGAAGGAAAATCTCTGAGTACATATTAAATGCAATAAATATGTATGTATAGATAGCAGCTGATCAAATATATTATGAATTGCTTAATTTTTATCAAATTTCAATTACAAATTAATGATCGAAGGCCAACAAAGATTATCAAGAAATATCATATTAGAATATCAAAAACTGATTAAGGAACAATTTTCAACGCGAAATTTTCAGCAATGATTTTAGTTACTGATAAACAGTATAATAAATGATTTTGCGGCGATTAATTTTGTCATAGCAATGATAACCAAAGTAAAAAATTAGATTTTGATTAAATCACCTTTTAATAAACAAATAATTTTTAATATATTCATAATATTTGTAATATATTCGCAATACATACATATTCAAATATGATAAGCGAATGCAAACATAGCCTATCTATTTTTTTTGTTTTTTATCATTTTCGATGATAAATTATGACAAAACTGGAGAATTTATCAGTAAAATATAGTGAATTAAAACTGGGGAAATTTCAAGTAGATTAAGTTACTTTCTCCATGGGAAAGAAATTCTCTTCTTTTTTATTCTTTTAACTTTCAATATTTAATCGCAAAATAACCAAACCACCACTTCTTATCATTCGTTATCTCTTATCTCTTAACACCTATTGAAAGTCAAAATCAATGATTGCAAAATTCTTTATATAGCAAATTGATTCGATCAGGAGGAAACATCATTTTGGTGCAACGTTTTTGCTAGTTAATCTCGATCATTTAAATTGAAACCAAACTAGTTAGCCAAAAAAGGAATTCTTCCAGACAAACTTAAATAAAACTCCGGAATCATTTTAGAATATCATTATTGGCCATTATAATTGTTATATTTGGCATATTAAAATATTGGATGATATGAAATACAATCGCCTTCTAAAACTTCGAAAATAAATAAGTAAATCTGAATCATTTATGATTTAATGCTTATTGCTTCCTATAGTGCAAATTAAATTTATAAATTAATTTATTATTTTGCAATTTTTCACAAACTATTTGAATATTCACATTTGTAACATTTGAAATTATCTGAATTATTTTCGCAAAATTGCAAATCGACATAATATTTACATTAAACAATGTATTGCTGCATTAATTTTCAATTTTTTTCAATTTTTGTAGCAAACAATCCGTTGAAAAAAAAAAAATATATATATATATATATATAAAATATTTCTGTATAAAAATTTATATAAAAGAATTGCATTTGTATTTTAAAACTTTTATAAAAATACTTTCTATAAATATATAATATATATACATTTGTATCAAAAATATAAATAAATAGAATAGAATATTTATCGATTCGGATTGTAAATTTTCTTTTTGAGGCGAGTAATACGCCATGCATTTGGATCTTCGTGTTTGTTATGGAATGGATTGATTGTCTGGTTCTTTTTGAAAGCAGATAATTTCGTATTATCACCCATTTTGAAGAATGATGGTGCAAACTCCACCAACCATTTTGGATCAATAGCAGTTACCTAAAAACTTGGAATTAATGATTAAGAAATTAAGAAATTCTTCCGCTGAATATGAATTATTGTACCTAAGACGACAATAAGCTCTTACCTCACGCATATATTCTTTTGTTGTCATTATCAGTTCATGATAAACAACCCATTCAGGTTGGTTTTGGAAAATTGCACTAGAAGGATGAATATATACATTTTGACCGTCCACAAGCGTTCGGTAACCTTCCTAAAATAAGCCAAGCCAAAATGAAAAAATTCCACAATAATTTTCTTCATTATTTCTTAAATATTCATCAAAAGTCTGAAATATTTTCAAAAAAAACCTGTGGATCTCTTTTGGCAGCATTTCGAAAAAATCCAGAACAAATTGCTTTTTGAATCCTTTGAACATCTTTGCCACAACTAACTGTGTTTAACTTAAGCCTGTCCATTATACTTAATAATTGCTTTCGAATATCCTAAATATTACAATTTTATTACAAACATACTCAGCAACTTAATAATTTTCAATAAACTTAAATCTTAAAAAGATTTTTGATATGTTGAACTGCGTATAAAAATAAAAGAATAAATATAAAGAATAAATATAACAAAAACGAACCTGAGCACGCTTAAGAGTGCGAATTTGAATAAAATTCTCATAACACCAAGTCTGAGAGAAATGGTGATATTTCCAAGAATTATAAACCGCAAGTAAAGTAAGATGATCACCTTCTGGTTGATGGAACTTCGATTTTTTTTGATCAGCAACTTCTTGTTTATCCTTCAAATAACCGAATTCAACAGAAATTAATGAAAAATATTCAAACAATATCAACAATACTTTGCAGTTCTCTTGTAAGAGCAACAAATAGATCAAGACAAATGTCTGTCTTTGATGTCTGATTGAAATTACATAAAAAAATAATTAAAAAACGTAAAAACCAAAAGAGATAAAATAATTGAACAGTTAGTGGTCTAATTCGGCTTCTCTCCCTGACAGCAGTAACTTTGTCATTCACATAGTGCTAACGACTAGCCTCTATTTATGTCATCAAAATTCCTCGGCAAAAATTTCTGATCATACTATCATTTGGTGGAATAATGCAACGAAGAAATGGTGAGGCTAACTATACATTTTACGAAATGTTTATTTACGAAAAATGATATAGATTATTTTTTAAAAATTTGCATAATTATTATAATTTATTCAAAATGAAGGACGAACGAACCTTTGGTCGATAAAATACATTTTGCACGGATAACATGGACACAATCGTCAAAACTTCATCAGAGCAACAGAGATCAACAGACATAATCAAAAGTTTTGCAAGACTGGGTTCGAGTGGAAATTCTGCCATCTAAAAAGAACACCAAAATATAAATTGAAATTGTAAGGTTAGTAAATAAAAATAAAGAATAATAAAATAAAATAGTAGATAAATATAAAAAAAATAAAAACATAAAAATAAGCAAAATGCAAAAATACAAAAAATAAAAAAAATAAAAACTTTGACCAGTATTTATGAAAAAAGATGAATATTTTAAAAATAAAAGAGAACTGATTACTTTTTTTAAGAGAAAAGATTACTTTTTTTCCTAATGCTGTTAAAAGACCGTCATTATCTAGTGCACTTAAAGTATGCAACTGAGTAAGTGCTGTGATCATAGCCTCGATTGGAGGTGAATCCATAAAGTCAAAATCGATCAAATTATTTATGCCCATGGCTTTCAACTGCAAGAGGGTAGAAGCCAAATTGGACCTCTGTATTTCGGGAATAGGTGTTGGAAGCATTTCATCGCTAAAAAAACAATTTTGAAATAAAGCAAAAGCTTCGACTAATAGATGAGATTGCGAATAACGAAAATAAAAAATACCGAAAAGCACGTTCAGTGTACAATCGATAACACTTGCCAGGCCCAGTACGACCTGCTCGACCAGCTCGTTGCTTTGCAGCCGCTTGCGATATAGGCGTGACAACCAAAGAGTCCATGCCGCTTTTAGGATTATAGATTTTTTGTTTGACAAAGCCGGGATCAACAACATAAAATATCCCATCGATCGTTAGCGATGTTTCCGCAATATTTGTTGCAATTACTACCTAAAATAAATAAAAACTAAATGGAATGAAAAACTTCCACTGAAGCCATTAAAAAATTCATATGTGGATTTAGAAAATCATAATTAATTTCCTTCTTTCATTCTTACATAGAGCGATAAAAAGAAATAACTTAAAAATAAGCAAAATTGAAAATAGAGTAAAGATTCAAATTTGACTGAATCTAAATAAATAAATAAAAGCATAAAAATTTAGATAGAACCTTTCGACTTCCAGGTGGCGCAGGTTCGAATATTCGAGTTTGCATTTCGCTCGGTAATGCACCATATACAGGAAGAATGATCAGCTGAGGAACACCAGGTCCGAGGCTTTTCATTCTTTCATATAACACTTCGCAAGATGTATCAATTTCCTCCTAATAATTTTTCCATAAATAAATAAAAATGACGAGGTACTAGCAAATATTAATGAAGGAAATAATGCAAAATAAATTTCATGAAATTATACAACTTACTTGACCAGTAAGAAAAACAAGAATATCGCCAGGAGGTTCAGTGAGATGAATTTGCATGACCGTTATATGAGCTGCATCCAAGTAATCAGTTTCTGGCTCACGTGTATATAAAATTTCAACTGGAAATGCTCGTCCTGGAATCGTGAAGATAGGTGCCTCATAAAAATATTCAGAAAATTTGACTGCATCCAAAGTAGCACTGTAAAAATTTAATGATTAAAAAAAAACAAATATACCAATAAACCAAAAAATATCAAAATAATTCTTCCTTTCAAGAGCCTAAAAGATACTTATAAATATATCTACCTGGTGACGATGAGCTTCAATTCAGGACGCTTCTTAACAGCTGCTTTTAAAAGACCAAATAATACATCTGTATAAATTGTTCGCTCATGCGCTTCATCAAGCATTATAACTGAATAGGATTTTAAATCTGAATCCAGTAGACACTCGCGCAACAACATACCGTCAGTCATATATTTGATCAAAGTATCTTGACTATAAAAAGAATATGAGGAATAAATATATTTGTTTGCCTCTTCTGCTTAATATGCTTTAATTTAAAAAATCATACCTCGTACAATCTTCAAATCGAATCGTGTAACCAACTTCCGAACCCAATCGACAACCCATTTCTTCACTTACTCGCTTCGCTACCGACATCGCGGCTACACGCCTTAATTTTTTTTTTTCGTTGAAAAATTGGAAAAAAACGATATATTCTTTGGAATCAACAACATCGCAGTGAATAAATTCAATAGGTTTAACAAGATTATTTTCCTCCTTAGCGAATTATGAATAATTTTTATAAAGTGATGTAGAGGAAAAACAAAATTACCAACCGAGGTTGTGTACATCCAATACGACCTCTAGCAGTATAACCAGCTTCATACATATATTGAGTTATTTGCGTTGTTTTTCCTGATCCAGTTTCACCGATCACAATAAGAATATTATTTGATGCTATTGCTTCCATCAATGCTTTTTTAAGAGCAAAAATTGGTAATGATTCTTTCTGTTCAATCATTGACAAATTTGATCTTTTACCATAAGTCGCTCTTCCACCAGCAGTTACATGTTTCATCCACTCTGGCATATCCTGGTATAAGAAATTTATATAAAACATATATTTTTATAAATTAAAAAAAAATATATATATATATATACAACGATATGAAAAACCGAACTTTAATGAAGGATTCAGAAAAAATTCTTCAGTAATCAAATTAACAATAAGTTACCCTTTGTCGAGAACTGGAACCAGATCCATCCATGGTCGAAGACCGCTGATTCACATCAGCCATCGGGTCATTAAATCGTGCTGTTGATGAAAATCCACTGCGTTGATTCATGGAGTCCTGCTCTCTCTGGGCTTGCAATTTTTGTTCACGCCGTTCTTTGGCAAGCGCACTCTTTATAAAAAATAAACAATAGTAAAATGAAGTTATCAAATGTGATAATAGGGGCAACTTTTAGTTTATAAAATTTGAATAAAGACTGATTGCACTAAAAAAGCATGCATTAAAATCCATACTTGCATCAATGCAGCTTGAGCTAAACTTCCATCTGGATTTTTTACAACTTTAACAGGTTCTAAATCCATTTCATGCTTCCCATATCCTCGAAGGAATTCAGGTTCATCCTCAACCAATTCGATTTCAATATCCTCTCCATCACTTTCTTCTAAAATTAATCAATTCAAAATATCAATAAGAACTGGAAATGTATTGCATCTTAATGTAACCTAATACTTTATTTATTTACTTATAGTAAATAAAAAAGGTGAACCATAAAAACAAACCATCAAAATTTTTGAGAATTCCAAGCTCCTCGTCAAAGTCAGGTAAATCTACATTTCGAATGGCACCACCACCTTGCATTTGCCTTAACTCCCATCGTTCTGGAGTAGTTAAACGAACTCGACTTTTGGCAGAACTGTAGTGATAAAAAATATTTAATAAACATATGATCGCTAGCAAATAATCATTCTGCATTTATAGACCAACCTTTTTGTTTGAACTATCTCTTCAGGATTGCTAAAACTAGGATTAATCCAAGGAGCTTCCGGATTCCGTGGAGCATCATCAAATCCTACCAGAGAATCACGAGGCAATGATGCCTCTCTAGGATTCAAGTCTGCGCCCGTTTTTTGGTCCACTTCTCTCATTGATAAACTCAGTTTACCATTTTCATATTTGATTACCTTAAAGATTAATGGATAAACGAGCTACATTAATTTGTAAAAAATTAAATGCAAAGAAACGCAAAGATGAAAATTTCTGATTTGATAACTCACTTTGACTTTGATTTTTTCACCTCGTTTTAATATTTCGTCAACACTTCCTATTCGTTCTTTTTTTATCTGTGAAATATGAAGAAGTCCTTCGAATTTTTGACGAAATCCTTCCAGCTGAAAAAAAATTATTTAAAAATTCCTAGAAAACCATTTTAAAAACAAAATTTTTTAAATTTTTTATTAATAGTTACAGCTTAATAAATACCTGAACAAAAGCACCGAATTTCTGAATGTTATTAACTCGCCCATTATATATATTCCCAACTACTGGATCACGATCATCATTCTCGTTATGATATCGATTACCGTTTCGCCTCTCATGTCGATCACGCCTAGGCGATTTAGAAGACGACCTATCGCTATATCTACGTAGCTTACTACTGCGTCGTCTTGAAGAAGATCGCTCTCTTTCACTGAAACTGGCGTAAATAGACAAAATTAAACAAATTCCGGGAAATTCGTCAGATTAGCATAAGAAGATTGGTGTAGGAAAACTAGATGAAAATAAAAAAATAAAATTTACCGAGACTTTCTACGTTTTCTATCCTTAGCGTAAACAGCCTTTTCATTACTATGGTGCCTTCTTTCCTTATGCTTCCTTGAATCAACAACACTCCGGCTGCGCGACCTACGTCTGCTCCTTAATTTATGATTTTCCTTCTTTTGTTTCTATAAAAAAAATTAAGCAGATTAAAAATTGAAAAATATATATGAAGAAATCAGTATTGAAAAAAAAAGTTTAATGATTAATATTTATATATCTGACCAAAAAAGAAAAATCAAAAAAAATCAGAACATCGAAAAAATTTAGAAGATTTCCGAATTAAAAAAAAACAAAATGACATTTCTTTACATATCCTTCATATCCGATTATTTGCAATAAATTGTTTTGCAAGTAAATTGTTCTGATACTTTGAAGATTCTATAAGAAATAAGAAAGCCTTCGAGATCAAAAGAGAAAAATTTCAAAAAACTGGGAAATTCTTTCAAATTAACGAACCTGTTCATCTTTCCATTTGGGCATCAAACTTTCAAGTTCATGCATCAAATCATCTGAGGAATTATTAGTAGTATTAGGCATAGCTAAAGCAGGTAAGCGTTCTCTCAACAAATTTTTATCATCAGAAATAATGACAGGTTTTTTAATTTCAGTCTTCTTCGGTTGCATATGTTGTATAAGGCGCAAAAGATTTGACAAAAGCGAATCATCAAACTGTAAAATTAAAAAAATAATATAAACAATCTAAATGTTCCAAAATTTTTCAAATCTAAATTTTCTAATATCTTCCAATATCTTTTAAACAGATTATATTCTCACCTTTCTTTTTATAAACTTTTCTGAAATTTTCTGGCAAAATTAATTTAAATAATTTAAATTAATTTAAACTTAAATTTAAATTTAAAATAGGAAAAAATTTAATTCTGCTGTAGTTTTTTGGCTAATATAATTTTTTTTACACATTTACACATTTTTTTAAGTCAAAGTTAAGTCGCTTCTTTTATTTTTTTTTGCGAAAGAATTTCCAAAAAATTTTAGCAAATTATCACTAAATTGATATATTATCGAAAAAAATTGGATAGAAAGTCTGAAAAAATTAAATTACAGAAGAGAAAAAATATTTTCAGGCAACAAATGATAGCATAAAAGTGATGAGAAAATCTCAAAGTCATTTTTAAAATTTAAAATCCAATAAGATCAGTTATGAATCGGTGAATAATATTCCCTCACAGTTCTCATAATTCTCAGTGACTTAAGAAATTTTATCATTTTAGACTTTTTTTAACAACTCTATTTAAAAAAAAAACTAATTCAAATTAAGGAAATGTATAAGCGTTATAAGTACTTCATCGCCAAGTCCTTCCGCAATGATAGCTTTTTTAAATTTATCAAATGTCGGATTTTCCGTTATGAGATGTATGATAAATTCAGCAACAGTTTTATCGCCAAAACCGAAATGATTCTCCAATTCGACACATACTTTTGATATAAGCGACAATCGTTCCAAATCATCCATCACTAAAAAAAAAAAAAAAGGTTAATAAATTTAAATCAAAACATATTCCTAGCAAAAGCGAAGTGAATTTCAGGTTATCCACCCTCATATTTTGCTCTTTTTTTCTTCATTCTACATATCTATCGATAGCGATAGGAAACACTTAAATTTTACCTTTAGGCTAAATAAAAATATCCACATTATCGGTTATTTGGCACTGGGAAATTTCACCATAACGACAGAATGTTAATACCACCGATTATATATCACGATTTACGAGAATTCTAAAGCGCTTTCCTCTTATATCCCACAGGTCCCACAATTTTCAGTGCAATATCACAAGTTTAGTATTAATAGAAGATTAAGAAGAAAAGAAATTCAGGCTCGAAATGTAGAAGGTTTCGAATATTCAAACCCACGTAGCACATTTTCATTAGCATAGAGAGTCGAAACTAAAATTCTTAAAACCATTAGAGCCGTAATAACCCAGAGCACCACATAACGAATGTTTCCACTATGCATTTAAAGGTAAGACATTTTTGTTTTTTAAAAAACCTCATCATTACTGGACTGTTTAAACTCGCTCCACCATTTCTTACATTAGGCAATAATGCCAGGAAGTTTTTTAGTGAGATAGAGATACAGGTGAGTCGCCAGCATCATCCGGATTTTTGTACATGTTTACTCTTGCGCTGAATCGAACCGCAGCATCGATGCTCCCAACAGAGTAACAACCCACTGAGCCATTCTATCCCCAAAGGCAGGATATATTTAAGAAAAAATACAACAATGAAAAAAAATAAAAATAACGAAATTTCCAGACTTTTTTTAAAAAAAAAAGATCAACGATTTTCACAAAAATAGCGCAATATGGCAAAAAAATTTCATTATCTGAAAATGAACTAATAATAATAACTCAAAATTTCTCGTTAGGCTCGCTAAAAGAGCACAAGGATGATTGCTAGTACCACGCGGATTTTTGAACGTTAGATTGATAGCTAGTACCACGCGGATTTTTGAACGTTAGATTGATTGCTAGTACCACGCGGATTTTTGAACGTCAGATTTATACGCGTCAAGAGTGGAATCTCGAAATATGAACCTAAAAAACCTACGAAAACGTTTATGCATTCACGACATTCCTATCCCTACAATACCTCAACCAACAAAAATACACCTTAAATAAACATAAATAATTGATGGATAGCAAGATTTGATCACTAATTCGCAGCCTTCACCCAGACTCACTGGGTATTAAATTACGTGACTGCGTAATAGAAATATGAAAAACACATGACTGTGGCGGAACGCAGTGTTCGTTGGTTGTGGACTCCTCGTCAAGAAGTCACCTAGACAAGAGAAAAGTGAGATTTTTCAATTTTATAATTTTTCAGAGGTCAGATAATCAACTCTCGAAAGCAAGTGGAATATAGGATTTCAACTCTCGTACAATTGCAGTCCAGTGGTGTTTTGGTGTTTTTGGTCACCTGGTGACAATATCGGGAACGAATAAAAAACATTCCACTTATGATATTTCAATTAAGATCGCACTAATTATACTAATTAGAAAGAATTTTCGTATCAGTTGTACTTGACACTCCGCAGCTGAAGCCGATAAGTGCTATTTTGCAGTTTGGATCATGAATTTTATTTTTTTGTGGTGAATTCGTTGGCTGTCGCATTTCTAGTTCATTTGATCGCGATTTTAGTCTTTGGCATGGCTTCGAATTACGCGAGATAGAATTTGAGTTGTGGGAAATAGCGATAGAAAGCGTCTTATTAGTATTGGTACTAAGTTTTTTATATTGGGTTTTTTACAGCCAACGGATGCAGTTCACTATTAAATGTTTCTCTGAGGTGATTAATTTAGCGCACTTTTAGATGGTTATGCTTTCCTAATCGATAATATTGCTCAGTGGGTTGTTTGCTTAACTCGGTGCGCCGATGTTGAGGATCTATTCCCCGCAGGAGTAAAACCTATCCAAAAAGTCCGCGTTTTGTTTGCGATTCACCTTGTATTTCTATCGCTAAAGGATTCCATCGCATGATTTGTCTAGTGCAATCTAATTAGTAATAATGAGGAATCTTGGAAAAAAAAAGAATCTATAATCGTTACAAATAGTTTATGAGGTTGATTTGCATGATTTGCATGCATTCTTGAATAGAATTGCTTGACACTATTCATATTTTTAGTTTCTGAACTTATGTTTACTCCTACAAGAGTTCAACAGCAATATGAAGATAGTGCAGTTGCGGAACAACCGTCAACAGGTCGATCGTGTGATCGATTGAGGAAGGAAGTTAAACGTTGTATTAAGGTATTATTCCAAATAAAAAATATTATTGGATTTATTTTAGAAAATTTATTTTATCGATTAAATAAATTTTATAATAAATTTTTTTGAACTATTTTATAATAGCTATTTTATAATTTTATAATAATTTGAATTTTTTTGAATTTTTTTTTTAAAACTACTACTTATCATTTTTAGTTAGTTAGGGCGTACCCGTACCCTACTGGCTGTTACTATGAGCTATTTCATCAGAGAGTTCCAGAGGGACCATAGAGACGGGAGAAATTTACATGGATATCCAATATCATTCTGAATTTGATGAGCTTTAATTTCGTTATCAAATGCTTGAATTGGAACCAACTTCCTTAAATAGATTGTATATGCAGTGGCCTTAATGCCAAAAATACCGATCTTAATGTCAAAAAAAATTGGAATTAAATTAAATTAAATTTGATTTAAGGAATCTGATTGCGTACAAAAAGCGCGTCGACCTGCAAAAGAATGTGTTCAAGCTCGTGATGGTTCAGTGCCGACTCGTTGTTATAAACTTCTTTCTCTTCTATCTGATTGTAAGAGATCCATGGTAATTTATTTTAATTTTAATTTTATCTTATTTTGATATATTCTTTTGCTTTAAAAGAAAAAAATTATGAGCAAAAGTTTTTAACTCTTTTTTATTTCAATTTTTTTATTACTTTATTATTATTATTTTTATTTTATTATTTTTAGATTGATATGCGCGCGAGATTTCGTGGTCGCAAAGGTGATTTATAGTGAATTGTTTAATTTTAAATCTTTTTTAATTTCTGAAAAATTGGAAATAAAATTTTAACATTGAATATTTTCTTTTATTTAAGTCTGAAGGATGCTTTCCGTTTTTATTGAAATTTCATCAAATTGAATATTGAAAAATATTTCAACTAAATTATTCATTTTAATTTTTCTCTTTATTATTTTTCTTATATCTCTCATAAGTTATAAAATCGCAAATCTCGGAATCGGGAAATTTGTATTGGGCGTTTTCCGGAAAATTCTTATTGAATATTTCAATAATTTTATAAGAAGATAATTGTTTAGATTCATAAAAGAAAATAATACTGCATTAATTGTTGAATTTCAACGATTTTAAATCAATGTACATTTCATATTTCATCAAAGGACATATCCACTTTTTTTATATTAATACAATCCTTTAATCTTTAACGATTTTAGTGGGAGGGTTAATTAATATTCAAAAGGATTAATATAGGGCTCAAGGCGCTATCAGAAGAAAGATCGTAGGATTGAGGGCGTTATTAGACGAACGACTATCGTCAGAATATAAAAAAAATCTTTTTTAAATATTGTAATCCATAAATTATAATTAAATTATTTATATATTTGTTTAAATTTTAAAATTTTTTTATAATAATCTTTTTAATAAAATTTGATAAATAATTTTACTCTTCTTAATGGATTCAAAACCACTATAGCCCTTAGTAGAACGACTCAGATTGACATGTTGAAAGGCAAAGATTTACACTTTTCTACTTTAAATGCAGAAATTTATCAAATAAACTTATCAAAAAATACCTCAATCATCTCTCAATTGCACGGGTTTTTTTTTTTTTTAAACCATAAGTAGATAGCCAAACACGATTTTTGTTTAGTAGTTGGAGAATACCGATCAAAAATTTTCAAATCAAATTTTTCAACTAAATTATCGCTTAAAAATAGTAAAATATAAAAAAAATTTCATTTTTTTAAATAGGCTAATCATCTATATGGAAATAGGCCTAGGCTAGGATAAGATTTCATGGCCAGGAAATCACTTACCTAGAGATAGAAGTACAAATGAGTCGCTAGCATTTTTTACTTTTCATGAAAATCTTATTCTAAAGAATAAAAATCGTATTAAATTTTCCACTAGAAAAAAGTTTTTATTCAAAAAAATTATGGAAATTTTTAATTTGTCATTTACTTTAATTAAAATAGCGTGAATTTAAAAAAATAGCTCAGTGGGTTTTTGTTGTCGTTTCAAAGAATTAATATTTGGATTCGACTTCCTTCAAAGAGAATTTTTCAAGAACTGGTAATTATAAATTCAGGTAACTCATTTTAGCGACCCATTTGTAATTCTATTGCTAACTAATAATCTAGCGAAAATTTATCTAATCGAATAAGTCATCAATACAAAAGCCTATAATTTTAGAAATTATAAGAATTTTTAGATTTTAAAAAGAAAAAATATTAAAAATATTATAGAAAAAAAAAAATATTATAGAATTTTTTTTTTTTTTAAATTTTTGACTTGTTGTTTATTGTAGTAAGCAATAATTATTGTTATTATTATTATAATTATTATTATTATTATAATTTCATTTTCAATTGTTTTCTTTCTTTCAACTATTATTATTCAATGTAATTTATAATAATTTCGAATAATAAACATTCAATGTTCAAATTCAATGTTTTAATAAAATCCTTGTTAAAAAAAAAATGGTCGTTCAGGTGTCAAATATCCATTTATCGAATTGCTTTTTAGCCGATAAGCAGAATCAGCCAACATTTTTTTTCCTTCCCTACTTCTTATAGGTAAATGGCATTGAATTGGTGAGAAAAAGCAATTTCGAGAACCATATGAACTTTTCCTGAAAATCATATTAGCACAATAATAATATGAAAAGTAATTAAATGATTTGCGAAAATAATAATAATAATTTTATAATAAATAATAATAATTATTTAATAGTAATAATGATAACAATAATAAGAAAATAATGATTTTTACGATCTAACTCATTATTAATAATTAATTATATTATTAATGTACAATAAATATGTAATAATTTAAAAAATATATATTGATATTCTTTTGATTATTATCCTTTTTTAATATTTGTTTCATCGAATAAATTTATTTTATATTTTTTATTTTAAATTGAAGAATATAAATTAATAATTTAATAATTAAGGAATTTCGCTATTGATAAAAGATTAAAGTATTAGTTAATATTTCTAATCCCTTAGATTTCAGTTGGATTAGCTTTTTTTTGATCTAAATATTTTTTATAAAATAAAAAACATTGTAACATTTTATTTATTAATATTAGTTTTATTAATATTAATTATATTAATATTAATTATAAAGAATATGTATGAAATTAAAAATTGAAACCTCTAAATTTTTAAAGGATTTTTTTTTTATGATTTTTTAATTTACTGTTTTTACTGTTGATTAAAAAAAAAAATTTCAAAAGAATTGGATATTTGAAAATAATTGCCAGCAGTACAAATAATGAAAATGAATATTAAAATTAATTAATTAATATTAAATATTTATTTAATAATGAATATTTTGCTTAAAATTATTGAATTATTGAAAATAACTGATAAATGATAAGAAGATGATAATGATAATAAATATAAAATTATAAAGTTTTCTCAAAACTATGATTCTCTAAAAAAAGAAAAAAGCAGTTAAAAAATAAAAAATAATGAAAAAAACCTTAATAATGGATATACTGTAGGAATAGCGGCATTATTAGCTTGATTTATAACAAGGAATACGAGCATAAAAATCTTTATTATGCACGATTCAGCAAACATAACGTTGAATTTTACCTGTAAGTCGATTTATATATATATCTGAGTGAGGAGGAATGGTTCAGTTGGTTTTAGTGATTATTTCGAAGAGCCCACTTCGGAGTTCGATTTCTCGTTGTTTTTCAAAAAATCCGTGTAGCATGTTAAATTAATTGACTTGAAAAAATCAAAAAACTTTATAAAAAAAAAATATTTCATTAATTAAATTAATCTCCAATTTAAATTATAACCACTAAATTACATAATTTTTAAAATCTTTTTTATTAAAATGATATTTAAAATTTTTATTAAAATTTGATTTTGTTAATTTAACGATTTATAATTACCATATCCTAGGAGTAGAATATCTTATTAAGTGACTTATTGTTCTAATTTCGAGAGTATCGACGTTGATGCCCGCATCACGAATGAACCTATCTTTAAAAAATTCGACTAATATTTATGACCCACTTGTATTTCTATCGCCAAGTGGTAAAATTTATTTAATATGTCAAGCTAATAGAATAAGTCTAATTTAGAAAAAAATTTACAAAATCTAGCTAGCAATTAATAAGCGATGAAATTTTGCAACTATAATAATAAATAAATATAAATATAATATAATAATAAATACTAAATTTTTAATTTTTCTTTAAAATATTTTAAATATTTCACTTTTAATTTGCTATATTATTGGAAAATATTAAAATAGTAACATCTCGAATAACTAGTTTCTTTATTAAATTTTATAAATAATTTACTAAGGTAATAACAAATTAACTAAAAGAATAAAGTGGAAAGGCTCCTTGCATTGTTGCTTTTATTTCAACTAATAATTTTAATTTTTCTTTTAGTAAGAGTAAAATTTAAAAAAAAAAAACCACCGATGCTAGCAATTCACCTCGTATTTCTATCGCTAAATGACTTCTTGACCAAATAAAAAAAAATTTGGACAAATTAGCGGAATGAGTCGAATCAAAAATGGTGAACATTTTTTTTGAAAAATACATATTATCGATAATGATATGATAATAAATCAAGAAATAATTTTTTATTGAATATTATATAGAAATTTATAAATAAAGATGGGAAATATATATGAGCGCGACGATTTCAATTGGCGATTTTTTAAAAAAATATTTAAATTTATAATTTTTTTATTTCCAAAATTTTAAAATATTTTATTGAATTTTCCTTTAAAAAAAAAGGAGAAATAAAATAATAAAATTATTATAATAAAATTAAATATAATAAAATTTTGATCAGATAAGAATGAAATTTTGAAAATAAAATTGCCATTTCAATAAAATTTAAATAATTTTAATAGATTTTAAATATTCCAGCAACAGATCATTGTAAAAAAAAAAATTGCAAAATTAAAATATTTTCAAAAATTATGGAGAAAAAAAATAATTGATGAAAAAAGAAAAAATAAAGAATTTAAAACGATTTAATGATTGTTGTATCTAATTTGAAAGTGGTTTTGCTGGAACTCTATTTATCAATAATTTGTCTTGCAAAAATCTGGGTGATGCTGACGATTTAACTTGTATGTTTGTTTCTAAGTGATAACTTCTTTGATAAAATTTTTCTGATTGAACTAAGCAAATGTAACGAATACAATATAAAAGTTTATAAAAGTTATAAAAGTTTTTTTATAAATAATGCATTTCAAAGAATTTTAATCTTCCCATAAAACTTTAAATTCTTACGCAATTTAAAATATAAATAAATAATAATAACAATAAATAATAATAACAAAAATTGCGACAATTATTGAAGAAACCAAGCTAACCTAAAATAGAGGAAAGAAAGGTATGGGTGAAAAACAATAAGCCGAGAAAGATAGGATTTGAAGAAAGATTTTTCTCGCTCGAGAACTTATCGAAAAAAATCGAAGAAAAAGATAAATTTTAATTTTTAAATAAAGAAAAATAAAAAAAATTTTTTATTTTTTACAGATTAAAAATAATTAATATTTTTGAAAAATTACTTATTTTCATTACTTATTTACAAAATTTTTTACGTATGTAAATTCGTTCAAAAATTCGTTTATTTCACATTCAGTTTATTTTTATTTTCTTGCTTTTTTTTTTTAAAAGTTGCAAAAATAAAAGAATAAAAGATTGAAAATAAAAGAAAACTGAAAAGTTTTTTTAAAATTTCATAGCGGCACAAATTTTTTGCTTAAATAGAATGATGGATAGTAT